TTGACGGCAAAAGTTATAATGACATCCCCCCCCCCCTACTCATGCTGGCCCTGATTACAACTTATGATATGAGAAATTCAAACTGTTATTTGGAGAAATCCAAAAACTTCTTCTACTATATATTGCTGATCTTTAAGATTTAAATTGGAAAAAAAAAACAAATGATTTATTATTCATTGAAGAAACTACTTTAAAAAATGAGATCTTTAATCTTGTAGAAATTTGTGTTCAATGGCGAGTCTATTTCAGTCAAACATATTATTGAAGTTACAATGATAGATGGCAAAGTCCATATTGCTTATCGAATATAACAAGCTCTAGGTAATCTTGCTTCATATGTGGATGTTCACCAAAAGACATAAACAACATTGACAAAATTACAAAACTTCCCTGTTCACCGAATGAGCTTTAATATGGATTCTCTACACTTCATTTATGGATAAGATTTTTTGAGTGTCTCATTCATATTTCATATAAGATACCAATAAAAAAATAGCGAGCAAAAGGAGATGCAGAGAAAGCTCTTGTTAAAAAACGAAAAATAAATATACTAAAAGGATTTCAACAAAAAATGGGATTTATTAATGATTACCCAAAATGTGGAGGATCTGGAAATTCAAATGAAGGCAATACTGCTCGAAAAGCCTTTTGAAATGAAGAGAAATTTGCCGAAATTACAGGAATAAACAAAGAACTAATTGTAAAGTTGAACATAATCTTAGTTTGCATATCAAGTGGATTTCAAATAGATACTATTAGGTTTCTCTTATTTTGTTTGGAGACCGCAAAACTCTATTCATGCTTGGGCCATTTGCTATTACATGTCTCAGAGTCTTCACAAGATCTAAATTCACGGTGCAGAAGTAACCCTTCGGGCATTTGTTTTTGAAAGTTACGTTCTAAATATCTTTTAAACGTTTTTTTAAACGTCTTTTAAACGTTCTTTACGTAAGAATGTTTAAAAGACGTTTAAAAGACATTTAAAATACATTTAGAACGTAACTTTTAAAAACAAATGCCTGCTGGGAATAGAGAGTCTATTATTACAAATGCCTGCTGGGAATAGAGAGTCTATTATTACAAATGCCTGCTGGGAATAGAGAGTCTATTATTACAAATTTATTTAGTGAAAAACCTCAAGAAGCTACAAATAAAGAATTTAGAAAATATAAGCAAAATATTTTATGTAAAAATTCAAGAATAAAGACAAATGAAATTGTAATGAAAAGACTTTTATGTACATCTGATCCAATTGTTTCATCTTATAGAAAAACTGTTTCATCGATAAAAAAAAAATGTCCTCCAGGTGTTGTTGAATTTTTTATTTGCGAAAATTCTACGTTCTAGAATAAAGACAAACATAATTCCTAATTTTTAATAGTAATTTTTAATAAAAAAAACTTTCTACACATATTTTTTTAGTTTTTAGCAATAAATATGAGCTTAATATTTATTCTATAGGGTTTGTATAATTAATTTGCAACAGTTCTAACAAAAAAAAGTTAAAAAAAATAATTTTGGCACAAAAAACACGGTTTTATTCCATTGTGCGTTGATAACGTTGATGACAGGTTTTAAGAAGTTTTGCACCAATGTTATCATTAAAAACAAGTAAATTATCTTAAACATCCTATTGCGCATATACATACGCTGAGTTAGTGTATGTAACATTTCTTACGTATGTAACTTATATTACTTATGTATTACGACATTATATTACTTATATATTATGATAAAGTTATGGATGAACCTAATCTTAAACTAATTGAATTGGAAACCGCCTTTTATAACCTTAAAATTAACAAAAATGCTGATTCGACAAAATTAACGTTAATGTTGTAAAATCTGTTTACGACATAATCGAATCGTCTGTGTTTCACATCTTTAACCTTTGTTTTAAAACAGGTATTGTCCCGGAAAAATCAAATCACGCCGGGTTTTTTAAGACCGGCGATGACTCCATTATTTCTTTAAATATTTCCTTTACATTGCGAAATCTAATAATCAATAACGCTAACGTTAAAAGAGAAACTTCAGTAAACTTTTTGGGCGTAATATTTGATGAAAATTTACGTTGGAGTAAACATATAAAAAGCATTGAGAAAAAAATATCAAAAAATATTGCCATGATATATAGGACCTTACTATTTCGAAACAATACATTTTTAAAAGTTTTTGCTTTCATTCATTGATATTCGATTTGTTATAATATTGCATGGCAAGTACAAACCATACAAAATTATAAAAATTGTACATTAAGCAAAAACACGTGCGTGCAGAATATTGTTTGGAGCTGATAAAACTGTACCATGCAAGCACCCTACTGTACCATGCAAGCCTCTTCTGCGTATACTTGGTACATTAAATGTCTATAAAACTAACTTACACCAAGTTTTAATGTTCATGTATAAAACAACGGTGGTAGTATCTCCTGAAATATTTCAGTCCTACTTTAACAAAGTAGTTCATAAATACCCGACAAAATTTTCAGATAATAACTATATTATCTGAAAATTGTCCCTATATATAGGAGGGGACGGGGCATTTTTTTTAAGCGGAAAAAGTAAACTTATGCGTATAAGATTGCATTAATAATATTTAAAAAAGTCAATATAAAAGGCTATTTAAAATTCAAGATATAAATATAGTTTCGTTTTCAACCATTTTCATGTTTTTTGTTGATTTTTTGTATGAAAAACCATCTTGCCCCATTCGCCATCTTGCCCCGTTTTCCCCTAATTCAAAACAAACTACATATTCAATTCAACACCGTGGATCTTATTTGTGGAAAAAGTATCCTAAGATTGCAAGATATTTTACATTATTATTTTTCAATAAATAATTTGTAAAGTATACATATATAATACGCTAATTAAAAATACGTACGATTGGGGCTCGGTGATAAGACAAAATAATGATTTCACCTTTTTTTTTTTTGTGTTATTTAGGTGCCCCCAAAAAGTCCTTACGGTCTTGTCACAGAGTACCGCGGAAGTGCATTTAACCAGGAAGTTCACGTTTCCTTCCTTACCGTGACACGAAATATGTCCAAAGATTGCTTCGAGCCTGGATCTCCTGCTTATAAATCAAGCGCTCTAACCAACGCAATATGCATTTTTATTTGTATACGTGCTGGATTTGGAGCTTAGTAAGAATTATAGAAGCAATGCCAGCCAAGTAGTGCGTTTTTTTAACTTTGGGGTTGTTCATAAATAACGCAACACTAAATTTATTTTAAAAAAAGAAGCAGGAGATCTTATGATCTTTTGCGCGGCAATTTTGATTAAACTTAACGAACTATTTTTATTTTTAATTTAAGTTAAGGTTCTGCGAGGGTAAACCTTTGATCTTTTTTGGTTTTGTTTACTAACGAAATATAGCGTTGCGTAATTTATGGACAATCCCTTTAAGAAATCTCTACGTTTGATTTAAAAAATTGCAAGAAAAAGGTGCTTGTTTATATTGGTATTAATAAGTCAAAAAAAGGCGAGCAGTGAGGCGAACTTCTAAATTAAAAGAGCATGGGACTCAATTAAGTGGATTATTGTAATATCTACATGACAAAGAAAACAGAATTGTCAATTGTTAAATATATTAAAGTATCTCCAAATTTGAAGATACTTTGGAGATACCAACGAAAAAAATAATGGAAAACTAAAAGCTATTCGTAAACAACCAAATAAGGTTTTTGAAAAAGATTTTCTACTGACACCGATAAATTCTTTGCCGAAAGTAAGCTAACTTCTGAGATATTAAATTATTAAAAAAAATGTTGCTCTTTAAAAATAGTAATAAACGAGGTGACGACCTTGAAAAAATTTTAACAGACATCTGTGTCTTAAAAAGGTAGGAAGCGGTAAAAATTATTGTTTTGATAAAACATATATGAAAACGAAAAGTTTTTTATTTCGTAAAAACAAAATAAATGTTTTTCAAAACAATAAATGTTTTTTTTATCTTTTCCCGGGAAATCAAGACTTCGAAGGAAAATTTGACGGGAAAATTTGGGTTTCCACTCATCCGTTTTTTCACGGGAACGGGATAGTGAAAGGAAAAATAATCACTTGAGCCTGCGTAGTTTTCGTTTGGACATAATAATACTTATACTACGCATGCCCACGTAATTATTTTTTCCGTCCCTATCCCGTTCCCGTGAAAAAATGGATGAGTGGAAACTCGTCTTAAAATTCAGTAAAATTTTTTTTTTTTTAAATGTTAATAGAATTTAGAATAGAATCAAAGTTGATTCGAACGCCGAAGCGTGTTTAAATAATGCGCTATAATTTTTTTATGCTCTTTTGATTGCAAACAACATCTATTCGAAAAATAAATAAATAGATAAACTAATGAGTCATTCGATTTTCCTTAAGATAACTAATTGCAAAATATTCTAAATGAATCAATTTCGTAAAACTCTACGAATTTTGAAAGTTCATCTTCTTTTACTGATCTTAGAGACTCTCTAAGCTCTCTAAGAGGGCTTTTACCTTTAGTGTAAGAGATAGCACTAAACTTTTTATTAATTCAAATACACTAGGTGGATCTCGAGGATTTTCTTTACCTTTTACTTAAATAACTTGGAAGTTTGATAAAAAATGTTTTGCACAAACTACAGTGTAATGGTTATATGGTATATTGTCTATTGGGAAAGCTTTAATTCATCTCTGGCGCTCTTTAAGATCTTTTAGAAATTCTAGAAGTATTTGTCTTATCTTTAACTGAGTCATAGTTATAGTTGCAACCAGTTTTCTGTGCATTTTCAACTTAATTTTCTAGGCGTTGCACGATGTTATTTCAGTTCACCCTGTAGCGAAATGATCTTTCAATTTCAAGAGATTGTTGGAGTTTTAATTCACCGTTCTACTCCTAATTTCCTGGTAAATTTAAACTCGAAAGGTTCTAATTTACCGGGAAATTAGGACTTTCGAAGTCCTAATTTCCTGAGTCCCAATATACCACGACACCGGGATTGTCCAAATGTCCAAGGTATTTGCAAACGCTATTTAAAATCCTCGGCTTGTTTATCGACTAGCCGTCAATTTTAAATGTAAATTGTTTGTAGCATAACTTAAAGTTTTATTTAGGTGTATATGTACATAAATATAACTTGTATACAAAGTGTTCAGTTACATTTGTCTTATAATGAGACAGATAATATTTAAAATTTTATTATTTTTAAAAGACTAACATAACTAGTCTAACATAATGGATATTGAGGCAAAATCTGGTAAGCTTTTATCGTTGTTTTGAATTTCAAAATATAGTAATTGATCATTATAATTTAACAAAATAGCAACTGAATTTTCAATAACATTTTCAAAGTTTTTTTTTGTAGTAAAGTTTATTAAATTAATTTTAAATTTTGCCTATATCTTTAGCTTTAACAAGTAAAAATAAAAAAAATTTATAGAAATTAAAATGATAAATAAACAACTAAAAATATCATAAGATTTTTTAATTTTGGTTTTTAGACTATTTTTTGAGTTTTCATATCACATATACATTATTTCATAAAAAGGGTATAATGTATATATTTTTGACGCTATTTTCAAGAATAATAATATTAGAGTGCTTTAATATAACCATAATAAGTATTTATTTACTTTCAAATTTAAATGTAACTGTAATAAATATTCATTTGGTTTCAAAATTTAATTTAGCTATAATAAATACTCATTTGCTTTTAAAATTCAGAATAACCATATTAAGTGATTATTTTATTAACCATTATAAACATTAATTTGCTTTCAAGATGTAATAAACCTAATAAAGAGTTGTTCATAATCTTGTTATAATTATTATCTATTATTCATTAAAAATTATTTTTTTAAAAAACAAATTTACTTCGAACAATCTTGCTTTTTATCATTCTCATCTTTATTTTCTATTAATTTTCTAATTAATTAGTAGTTGCTGCAAGCGAGCAATAATTAATTTAGGAGTTAACAGGAATCCAAAAATAATTGTGATAACATATCAAAAAAAGTAGTCTACAAAAGATTTAAAAAACTGTAAGTATGAGTGAATTCCAAAACACTGATGTTGAAGGTAAGAAACTAGATAAATAAAAATTTTAACTATTGAAGGAACAGTTACACTAAAAAGACGTGATTTAGCAGAATGGCAAGTCATGCAAGATTGAGTTTTGGTTAATGGAACAAGTGACAATAAATTAAACAGCAATTGTGATAGTATTTCTAAAAATTTTTAATATTGTAAAAGAGAAAGAGATGCAGCTTTATGACAATGGAACAGAGGCTTAAGCTTAGAATATATAGATGTTTTCCATCAGAGGTCAGGATGTATAAATGATTATCTATGAAGATATTAAATTGAGAACTCAGTAGAAGTCTTTTCATTTATCAGTATAGGAATAAAAACAATATTGCTATAATTATTTGCAGTAAACAACTGAGTTTTATTTAGGCTAAAATTTACCAGCTGCTGCTAGCCCATTATTTATAACACCATGAGCCATATCACAGAATAAAGATCACATTCAAGATCAGCTGCTTTCTAAGTGATTAAAAAAGTGACAACTTTGACAAAAATACTGAAGTTGTGTCAACTGCAAATAGACTTTAAAGGTAAGATTATCATGAAGATTATTTATATAGAGGAGGAACAACACATGACATAGGATGCAGTATTTAAGTAGCCTAGAAATTACTTAAAATAAAGCAAAGTTGTTTACCAAAAACAATACCACAGTTATAAAAATTTATAATTAAAAAAAAATTATCCCAGATACAACATATAAAGCTTATGAAGACTGCCTTTTTCTGTACTTCTTCTAAAGTCTTGGATATGTCAAGTGCCCTTACCTCACTGCTTCTATCTAATGCACAAAAAACTTTTCAGTTATAAAGGTTAACAAGCATTAGAATGAGTGGATTAAAACCTGTATTGATTGATTGATAAGTAAGTGCTTTTACTAAAGATAATATTAGATGTTTGTTAATTAAAAATTCAAAGACTTTGCTAAAAATAGCTGTATAATAATAGTTGAAGATTGATTGGGTAATAGTTAAAGGGTTCTGAGCTGTTTATTTAAGAGAGTCAAATCAAAGCATGATCTGAACTACCTAAATGAAAACCTACCTAAATGAATTTCCTAACTAAATAAAACTATCAAAAAAAAACTGAACGCAAACTAGAACTAGAATGTTCTAAATTTGTTTTTAGAACATTCTGATCTAAATATAACTCTAACTAAGTAAATAAAAATTTATTTAGTTAGAATGTTCTAAGTTTATCTAGTTTTTTATTCAACAAACAACTTAAGTACCTCCAAAGAACATTTTTTATTCCCTCTTCATTAAAAATTGTGTCTACTAAAGAACTTTATGAAAGCTCCTAGTCAAAAATTTTTATGGATTTGAAAGAAATGTTTTTTTAAGTATAATGAGGCAAAAATTCAAGCTGTTGTATTGTTCCCCAAATAGGAGAAATCTTCTAAGATACACTTTGCAAATGACTGCATTAGAGCTTGTAATGGGTTTTTACATGCTTGTAATGGGTTACATCCTTGTAATGGGTTTTTACATGTGGTACAGATCTTCCTTGGTAAATACAAGCCAACTAACTATATAGTAGTAGTTTAATATGTGGTAGAAATCTTCCTTGGTAAATTAAAGCTAACTAATTATGTAGTAGTAGTTAAAAACATAGTTCAGTTTTATGAGATATTTTGGAGCAGGATAAGTGTCAGTTTTCACACTTTTAACTTTTACTATTTTTATATTTTTATATACACTATTTTTCAGCAAATTTAAGTGCCTTAAACAAAGAATATGATATTTAGCGACATAATCCTGCAGCAGAGCACATCACAAAATTAAAAAAAAACATTTAAGTGGTTTAACATTTAGGTAATAATGAAAAGTAGCATAATTGTTCAAGTAACAAAAAATGCAGTTGGTGTCATATGGCTTTTTTAAATTAAAATAGCTCAGACTTAAAATATTAACTTAAGTCAGTTTAAATTAGAGTGCATGTTTCTGTTTTGTACAAACCATGAATATAATGTTTTGAAGTCATTAATTCTATTTTATAATTTTGTAAAGTCAGTATTTCTGAAAAAGTGAAATAAATTACATCAAAACTTCTTAACAAATGTTTTTAGCAAAACGCTTTTAAATAAAGTAACAATTTACTGATAATGTTTTTTTTTTAAAAATTGACAGTTGTATATATTTTTTTAATTTATAATGTATAAATTGTTTAAGTGTGCATTTCTATAGTAAACGCTATTAAAAATTAAAAAATTGTTGTGTTTTCATAAAGAATGACATTCTACAACAACTAATGTCTCTTTAACGAATTTTAAGAATAATTAAAATTAATACATTTAGTATAATAAAATATAAAAAAATTTAGAATAATAAATTTAATACATATAAAGATAAACAAAATTTCGTTGAAAAAAAAAGGACAAATGTTTTAGAAAGCCGTTATAATTAAATAAGTTTGATCTTAAATATTTTTATATTATCAAAACCCTTTTCAATGAAGTAACAAAACACTTCTAATGAATATATATATATATTAGGGTCGGAATTAGGGTCGGCATTTGGCAATGCCGACCTAACTGCCGACCTAAACATGTTTGCGGTCGGCAAAAAAAATTCGGTTTTGCCGACCTTGTTTTGATGTTTTATGGTAAGACCTTTGTATTTGCTGACCTAATGTGGACCTTAAAAGATTGAGGTCGGAAAATTATTGCCGACCTTAATTTTCCTAATTCTGAGGGTTGTATATATATATATATATATATATATATATATATATATATATATATATATATATATATATATATATATATATATATATATATACATATATATATATATATATATATATATATATATATATATATATATATATATATATATATATATATATATTTTTTTTTTTTTTTTTTTTATTGCATTTTTGCTTTAATTAAGTTTTTATTTATTTATTTTCTCTTTCGTTAAGATTTTTTTTTCTTTTTTTAAAGTTTTTTTTTTAGATTTAGGTAAGTTTTTGTAGTGTCATATATAGTTGTGGTCATATATAGATGTGCGATTGCATGTCTTCCTGTGAAAGACTGTTTTCGCAATATTTATTGGTGTTTTTTTAAATTGTTTTTTTTTTAATTCGATAATTTAGGTTTTGATTCAATAATTTTATTACATTAAAATTATTAAATCAAGTACATATTAAAAAATTTTACTCTATTTAAAAATTTTTATTCATTTAAATAAAAATATATAGCTTTGACAATTCTTCTAAGTTACAAATGCAAAACATATATTATATGTTTTGCATTTTTATATTTAGTTAACTTAAAACTTATGTTTATAATGGTTATAATAACCATTATAAACATAAGTTTTAATATGTTAGCTAAATCAAAACCTAAATTTTTATTTATCTAAATTGACTAAAAACATAATTTTTAAGTTAACTTAGACAAATAAAAATGTTTTTTTTTTTAGAACCAGTTGCACCTCCTCGTAAAAAGTTGACAAAGCTAAAATCTGAATGTAGTAATGAGGAGAAAAAAGTTGTCAGGTTTGATTTCTTCTAAAACTTTTTAGAATTTTTATGCCCAAATAGTTATAATATAGCTACTTATGTGAGCGATTGCTCATTATTTTTGCTTATGTAAATAAATATGGATTTTTTAAAAAAAGAAGAAAACAAAGAAATAATGAATGAAAAGATCCCTGCCCCATGCCAAACCCTCAGTCAATGTAGCAATACTCCACTATGAGTCAGGCTATTTGTCAGTCAATGTATGTACCGAAGCCCCTGGAGCAGGCTTTTTCCGTATGATGAAAGTACAAAGGCTTTGATAAGGCTTGTCTTAAAATATTATTTTTCAATTGTCGGAATCGGGTTTTTTTTAATTATAATTATTATAAATTAGTTTATTAATTCAAAGATAAACTTATGCATCAATCGCATAAAAAATATTTTTACACAAAATTGTAATACAGTAATAATAAATAACAATAATGTTATAATAAATAACAAAATGATAAAAAAACATAATCCTTTATCTAAGACAATTATATTGTGTTAGAGGTCTCAGGAGGTTTTTTCGTTGCCAAATTTTATCTTTAATAGAATTTTTTATTTAGTTCTTTCTTTTATAAGCTAAAAAGCTGTGTCAACCTATGTTTTTAGGATGTTAAATCCACCATAGGTAGTTTGAAGTATGGCTGGGTTAGCTGGATATGGTTCAGGGTTTAAGGATAGAATTCTTTACTCTGATTTCTAGAAATTTGACTAAAATACATAGATACGGTTACATGCATAATTGCTGTTTCCATGGGAGAATATGTTTGTTTCTGGAACATGTCTGAGCTAGCTTTTAGAACCAGAAGATAATATAAATCCTATGTATAGATGTTAAATCTATCATAGATAATTTGAAGTATGGCTATGTTAGTTAGATATGGTTCAGCAATAAAATTCTTAATGCTGGTTTCAAGTAATAGTAATACAAACTGCTGTAACGACGATTGTCGCAGAGTATAAAGTTTAAAATTTATACTTTAACAGCCGTTAACAAATAAAAAGCCGTTAAAAGTCGTTAATTTTTGACTCTATTTTACTGAAACATGCAATACTTTACTTCAACAACCATTGGTATGTGTGTGTATATATGTATATGTTGGTATATATGTATATTTGCATATATGTGTATATATATGTAAAAATGTTAGTTTTTAGGTTGTCATTTTTTATATATATAATTTTTTTTTTTTGCCCTACATAGTTTTTGAGGTTTGACATTGTAGTATTTTTTGTTTTGTTTACCATTTTATAATCCAACAAGCTGTGTCAATACTTCATTTTTTACTTTTTATTCCATGCTTTTTTTATATCTTAAAATGGTGCCAGTGTTGTGGCAGGTCGTAAATTAGCTTTGTTTATAAATCTTGGCAAAGGCTATAATACACTTTACACTTTCACAATAGTATTTTTTTTACTTGCTTTAAATTATTTTATTCACATTTCTAAATTTTTTTCATGAAAAAAAAGTTAATGAAAAAAAAAATCAGTATTTATTATAGTTTCTAATAGTTATAGATTTTTATAATGGTGGTACATAATTACATTTATATTTTACAATTACATTGTAAAATAATAACTATGTAATATTTTACATAATACATAGTTATTATTTTTATGTTTTTTATTATTTGCAAAAACTCAAAACTCATATCACAGTTATTGATGGTAGAAGTTCTTTGTGAAGATGTTAAGTGTTAAACTTTTTTAATCAAAATTTTTTGCTAAAAAGCATTAACTTATTGCTCTATACCATTAACTTTATTATTTTTTTCTTTTTTAGTTTTCATTATTTTTTTAGCTTTGTCTTATAATTATTTTTTTTAAAAATGCGTTTGTGTTGTTGTTTTTTTAAGGCCTGTCACTATATTTACATCAAAACCAAATGCACTATCAAAGGAGAGCTCAGATGATAGTAAAAAAGTTGTCCCAAAACGTCCACCATTCCCTAATAAATCAATTTCTTTTGATATACCACAATCTCAAATCAAAAATAAAATAGAATCTGTTCAAGAAGAAAAACCTATTGAACGACCAAAGCCATTGCCAAGACCAACTTCTGTTAACAAACCTACTCCTTCTCCTAGAAAGTTATTACCAAATCATTTAATGAATGTACCTCTTGATGTTACACAAATGACAACAAAAGCACTTGATATAAAAACAAACAACTCACAATTGTACATGCAACAAAATGACAATTCAAACATTTTAACCGAATATGTGAAGCAAAGTGATGATACTACTAATGCAAACAGTTCAACAATGTGTTTGCTGCAAAATAATGATTCTATAAATGTAAATTGTTTAACAACGTGCTTTCAACACAGTGAAAATTCTGTAACTACAAATGATTCACAACAGTATGTGCAACAAAGTTGTAATTTTATTAATACTAATATACTAGATACAAGCAATTTACAACAGTCGTTAGAACATGGTAATGCTTCTACAGATGAAATCAACTCACAACAGTGTTTACAATTGGGTGATGGCTCTACAGATGAAATCAACTCACAACAGTGTTTACAATTGGGTGATGGCTCTACAGATGAAATCAACTCACAACAGTGTTTATTAAAAAATAATGATTCTATAGATATAAATAATTCTCGACAGTGTTTACGACAGGGTGATGTTTTTATAGGCTCAACCAACTCACAGCAGTGTATACGACAAGGTAAAGAATTTACAAATATTAACAATTTACAACAACATTTACTACAAAGTAATGATTTTGCAGATTCTAGTGTTGAAACAGATTCTACAAATACAAACAAAAACATTAATACAAAAAAAAGTATTTTAAAAAAAAGATACAATTTTGGTCTTAAAAGTTGTAAAAAAATTACTGAAACCGAGTTGCATAAAATTCATGCAAAATTGAAGTCTGACACTATTAATGTTTTTAAATCATTCAAAATAAACACAAAGTGTTTTAGTCAATATGATCTCATGGTTTATGCTTTTTATGAAACTGAAAGTAATACTATAAAAAGAAGTAAAAGTTTAGAATTTTTAAACAATGATGTTGTTCATAAACCGTACTATGAAAACTGTGAATTCAATGAGTTTTTTCCTAAATGCAAAAATTATAAACAGCAACATACAAGTCCATATGAAAACATTGATATAAACAAAACTACAAGTTTGGATGATCAAATTTTTTTGGATGATCAAATTCCATTGTCTCCAATACAGAGTAATTTATCAGAGTATAATAAAGATTATAGCGAAATATTAATTTCTTCTATTAAATCTAAACAATTTAGGCCAGCTGCCTCAATTCCTTATTTAGGACTACGTGTAAATATGAAGCAAGGTTTTCATAAAGATTTTGAAAAAATTACTACTGAAAAATATGAACAGAATTCATTATATGATTCACCAAGGGCACTTGCAAGTGATTATATCAATTTAGAAAGTACAAGTTTTCTTCAAAAATGTGATCTTGTAAATGACTCAATATTATTCAATCAAGATTTACCATTATTAGAAAGACAGTCTGAAGCACAAAAACCTCTGTTGCAGAGTATACTGGAAAATAATGATAATCAAGTGCTATCAACTAAGGAAAAGGTATCAAGTTCATATACATATGACTCTCCTATCCTTCATGGTTTTCAAGTGTATGACTCACCTAAATTAAACATAAACAACAGTGTATATGAGTCCATGGTAAATTATAAAGACTCCACTGAAAATGACAACTGCTATGAGAAACCTGATGTAAAAGCAAAAGGTTATTTATATTTTTACATTTTTTTTATTTAATATGATGTATTTATTTTTATGTGTGTTATCATTTATAGGTTACTAATATTATTCTTATTTTTATATTCTATTATTCAATTTCTTTTATTTTTTAAATTGTTTATTTGAAATTTACTAGGTTATGATTTTGTTCCACAACGACCACCACCACCCTATCGGAACAGTCAGTTGCACTCTAATTTTCAAGAATCTTTACCAGCTAATTATTTGTCTGATAGTACATCCTCAAAAAAGCAAGAACCTCCTCGACCACCCCCACCAAGATTATCCACAAATTCAAAAGTAAGTTTTATTATAATTTTTTTTTTTTAATATACCTATCACTGTTCTTTTTTTTAAAATTTTCACTTGAATTTTATTTTATTTCAGATATTTTTAAATCAATCTTTTCAGTAGGTTAGCATAAAATACGAACCATCTTTTCAGTAGGTTAACATAAGATACAAACCATTGAAAATAAATTTAAAACTGCATCTTTTTAATTTTTGTCTCTTTTTCTTAAACTGTAAAATTTACCTCATATCTTTTGACTGGTAAAAATATTTTGATGGAATTTGAAATTGGTGTTTTTATATATCTTATCATAGAAAATATCATATGATAATTTATTGATAAGTGTACAGAATTTCTGGTGCACAGTTATTATATTTTGCCCCTTATATCAAAAATATCCTTCACAATTGTCAGAGATAATTAAATTTATACCAGTAAGAATCAGCTTGTACAAGTTCCAAGCTTCAAAAGCTTGTACAATTTCAGAGCTTCAAAAAGCTTGTACAAGTTCCAGTTAGGGTTTCCAAGAAACCGCATTTATAAAAAACTGTGGTTTCAACTTTAATTAAAAAAAAAAAAAATGCAGTTAACAGTTTTCAGGTTTTTTTTGTTAATTAATAAAACTTATGTAAGTTTATCTTTCATTATTTATTAAAAAAAGTTATTTAAACGAAGTGTTCTAACATTATGTTTATATTTTGAAATAAAACTTACAATGACTTATTTTTATTGTAAAATATTTTTAAGGAAACTAAAGATTTTAACGATCCGATGTTGTACATGGTGCTTCAGCTAATAGTGGTTTCTCATCATTAGAAGCAAATCTAAAAAGCCTAAACACAAGTTTTTCAGCAAAAGTACTTTTTAATGGAACAACTGAAGGATTTTTTAGGCACTTTAACAACTGCATAACATTTCCTTTAATTTTTTCATTGATGCGCTTTTTTAAATTTGAATGCAATAAAGATGCACTTTCTGTATTCATAGCAAATAGTTTTGAAAGCATGAATTCGAGAACAATATCTGCTGTCAATAACGTTGCATCTTCTCTGCTAAGGAATTCCACTACTAGTTTTGCTGGCTCTAAAGCGGTAATAAAGCTAATGACTTAAATCTAACTTGTTGATTACGTCAAGAGCATTTAATTCAGTAAATGTCTAAAATAAGCATTTCTTAGTTTTTAACAAAGGCGCAGTCATTGAAAAAAGTGAATTCCAATGATGACGAACATTGACATGCATTTCGATTTCTTTACCGAATTCCTCAGTAACTTTCTTCTGAAAAATTTGATTATGAACTGATGACATTTTTATGAATTTCACTACTTTTCGAGCATTTATCAATATTTCAGGGTAGTCAACATTAATCTGATTGTTTACTGATTCAAAACTAAAATTATTGTAAATTCCATGTTTATCCTCTTCTGAATCACAGTCCTTTTCCTTGGGAACTGTTACGTTTATGTCTCTATTTTTCTTGCATACACTAAGATGAGTTGCATGATTAAAGCAAAACTGATCAACAATGTCCGTTAACTGCATGAGCTTCTTGTTGATTGTTGCACCATCTTGAGTAGAACATACTGCATCTCTTTCCATATCAACACCAAATGAATTCAAATGATCCTTAATATTTTGTATTAAATTTTCAGCTGGACAGGAACTATAAATCCTAATGAGGCCAGTTTTATAGGTTTTCCATTTGCTTTCATGCAGGTTGACAGCAGTGTACCTTCTGTGCCTCAAAGATGTGTATTCATCATGCGTTAAGCTGAATTTATGTCCCATTTTAATTTTTTCAACAATTTCTTGTTTCATCACTTCCTATTTATCAGAAAAATCTTGATGGATTAAATTCATCACTGTTGTTGGACTTTTAGGAAGATGATTTCCTCTTTGTTGAATTGATTAGAGAATAAATTTGTTGTTTCTTATAGATCAGCTACAATTTCTTTGAGGTTCGTTTTTTGTAAATAACTGTCTATGGTTTTAATTTTTTTTTTTCGGTGGTGGATTTGAGCTGATGCTTGATCCTCAAAGGGCTATTGATAGAAATTCCATGATGCAAAATATGGTTCCGCAAAGTAGTTGCGGATTCAATTGAGCGTGTTACAACAGAATCGCATCTATTACTGATGCCTTCAACATCTCTTGAGTTTGAAATTTTATGCCAGGCAATTGCCATACTGATGACATGATTTATCTGAAAAGTATATTTTCAAAATATATTTTTATCTTAAGAAATAAAAAAAAAGAAATAAAAATCAATAAAAACAAGAAACATTATTGTGAATTAGTTTTATTAAATTCCTATATGTTAATATTTTGTTAAACAAAAATAAACAATAAAAATATCTGTATGTTTTTTTAAGGAATAAAAACTCTTTAACAAAAAATTTTTCTATTAAAATTTGAGTATTCAAATACTTTACATTTTAATATATTTGCGTGTTTTATTTAATATTTGAACATTTTTTTTGGAATAGTTGAATAATTTTGAAAATGAAAAGACATGTTACGCTTTCCAGCAAAATACTCTAAATAATAGAATAAAAATTTGATTACTTACAAATTTGATTTTTTATACTTTTCTATAATAAATAAACATTAAAAAGACATTATACTAAAAAACCTGCCAAAACCATTTTTGAAAACTGAAGGTTTTTATTTATATCGGTTTTGACCAAAAACTGCGGTTTTCAATTATCGGTTAAAATCGATTGGGAACCCTAGTTCCAGTGATGAGATTTGGTTTGATATTTTATCAATATTTCCTCCACTTCAAACATAGTCAGCGGTTTATTAAAGTTAACTAAAATTATTTGGAGTTTTATATACATATAAATATAAATATATATATATATATATATTTATATATATTATATATATATAAATATACATATACATATATATATATATGTATATATATATATATACATATATATACATATATATATATATACATATATATATATATATATATATATATATATATATATATACATATATATATATATATATATATGTATATATATACATATATATACATATATATATATATATATATGTATATATATATATACATATATATATATATATATATATATATATATATATATATATATATATATATATATATATATATATATATATATATATATATACATATATATATATATATATATATATATATATATATATATATATATATATATATATATATATATATATATATATATATATATATATATATATATATATATATATATATATACAGGCCTTGTGATAAATAAAAACTGCGCGACGCATAAGCACGACATGATTTTTGTCGTCATTAAATTCTTTTTATTTGCTTTTCATATTTATCGACATTAACTGCACCAATTTACTTAATTACCGCAAAACTACTTTAAATCATTAATGTAGAAATGTTATTATTCAAAAATGTTTTGAAATGTTTCGTTTTTTAAAATGTAAAAACATTGGTTTGTTTTCTCGACGTTTGACGTGTTTTGTCTACTAAACGAATAAAAAACATAACTAAACGTTTAAAAAAGATTATAAAATATGCTAATATTTGATTTTCTCAAATATGTAATTTAAAGTTTTTCAAATAATTATTTTTTCTTTTTAAAAAGTCAGCGATTAATAAACTGGAAATTTTAATATTGTACGATTAAAAACTGTGCAATAGCTAATATTTTTACTAGCGATTTTATATAATATTTTTTTATTTATTTATTTTTATTTATTTCATAAAGCGGTTGATAAGCACAATCACTTGTATTACTAAAAAACTTTAACGAATGTTTCGAATAGATTTTTAATGTTTACAAAGAATTTTATTTTTGGTAAAATAAAATATTAGAATAAAAATCTTATAGGTATAAAAGACATATTTCAGCGAAAAAATTATTCTTAAAAATTATTATTAAAAATTATTCGAAAAACTATTAGCGTTCTATTTTTCTGCAGCTTTTCAAGCACGCTTTGTTGAGTTTCGGTAACTTTTAATAAAAAAGCAATTGTTATTATTTAAGTAATTTTTTTCGAGTTACTTTTTACAAAAATTTTAATAGCTTTACTTTTTTATTGAATCAAGTAGAATATGTTTTAATATTAATCCTTTTATTTTTTTTTATTTGCGCTTACGAATTTTTAAAATGTTTCCTTGAAATTACTCTTAAATACTTTAAGAGTAAATATGTCTAACAGTTAAATATTTTTAAATCTATGGAATAATTCTAAAACCTAACAACCCTGTAAAATAATTATTTAAGTTAAAAATCTAAAACTAAAAGAAAGTATTTTTGTTCAATTTTATCGACAACTTTGCTATTGCTGAATAATTTTATTAAAATGTTAGCTTAAAAAAATTTAAACTTTTTTTTTAATCTGAATTTTTTCTACTTGTAAATAATGAGCATATTTAATTTTTTTGTAATTCAAACTTTTATATCAACATGCGGTTTTTAAAATACTTTAATAAATGTTAAAATAATCGTAAATTACTTCATTAAAATCCCGCTCAAAAATATCTTTAAATATACTCAAACAAAAATTTTTTTGCTCAACGCAAATAGCCCTAGCTACACGCAAAATCGCTCTTGGACGACGTAAAATTCACATCGCCCGACGCTTTATCGCAAGGCCTGTATATATATATATATATATATATATATATATATATAAATCTGTAACTTGTGACTGTGTATGTTAAATACATAATTTTTTACAACAAATTTTTACAAAAATTTTGGTGAAACCACATGGAAACCAAAACCAAAATGGTGGCTCACCCTGTAGAGAAGCAGCACATTAACAAAAATTCCCAGTTACAATTTTTTTAATAAAAAAATATTTCACTATCATAAAAAACTAAAAGTTAGTTCAATACATTAATAGTTCATTTGTAACAAAATTAATAAACTGTTGTACCCATTTTACCCCAGCTACCCATTTTATTCTGGTTGACCCTAATCAAAAGGTTGTTTTTGCTAAATATCTTAATATTTATAGAATGATTTTCATGTACATAGAATTAATTCAAAGAATATTGTCCTAATATTGAATTTTGAATTGATGAATTTTTTATTTTTAATTTTGAAGAAAAATTTTGAACTATTTTATTTTAAGTTTTGATTGAAGAAAAATGGGTCAAATAACAGAACTGAGTGTAGAAAAATGAGCTATTATTGTGGCATTACATAAGGTTGTTCAAAATGGATGATTTAAAAAAAATCAATGTTTCTCAAAATGCAGTCATGAGAGTGAAGAAATAGTGAAACTAGCTGTAATCAATGTAATTGTTTTTCTATGAGACTTTAAACAATTTTAAATTCCACAGTTTGTCTTGAATTATTAAAATTGCAAGGTTAAATTTCAATTGAGTTATGACAAATTCATATGTGTTCAGATAAATTTATCTTAATTTCATGCAGAAAACACCAATATCTGTCATAATCCTAAAACAAAGTCTTCACAATTATGGTTTGCGTTGCTGTCAAAATCCATTACTATGCTAAACAAAGTTAAAAGATTAAGCTGGGCAAAAATACATAAAAGCCTAAATTAAAAATACATAAAAAAAGCTGAAATTGTTTGTATTATGTGCTGATGTTGTAAAAGCATATATATATATATATATATATATATATATATATATATATATATATATATATATATATATATATATATATATATATATATATATATATACCCATATAGTGTAGTCGAAAGAGCGTTTTAATGTAAAAAAAGTCTCTTACGACTACAATTTTAATTACCTCGTCTCTTAAGCTGTTTTTGATTGTCATCGAAATGTCAAAGCAATTAATTTATGCAGAAGTACATTAAATTTAATTGTTTTTTAAAAATTTTTCAAAAAACCGCAATTATAACGACTAGAAAGTTTTTTTTAATTAGTGGTGTTTTTGTTATTGATTTAATAAAAAACATTTTTAAAACATGCGTAAATGTTGCTACATCGACTATCTTATAGCCTGACTCGCAACTGAGTGCTGCTATATCGACTGACAAATAGCCTGACTCGCAACGGAGTGCTGCTACATCGACTGACAAATAGCCTGACTCGCAACGGAGTGCTGCTACATCGACTGACAAATAGCCTGACTCGCAAGGGAATGCTGCTACATCGACTGACAAATAGCCTGACTCGCAAGGGAGTGCTGCTACAACGACTGACAAATAGCCTGACTCGCAAGAGAGTGCTGCTACATCGACTAAGGGTTTGGTTTGGCCAGGCAGTCTATCAATTAAAAAAAAAATTTAATTTTTAAAACTTTTTCTGGTCTGGTTTATTAACGCGCTCTTTAAAACTACAGTTTATGGGAAACTTTTTTTGATGCCATGCAAGAGATAACTTTAAAAAAAATGAAACATAACTTTAAAACTGGACATAACTTTAAAAAAATGGACATAACTTGACATAACTTTAAAAAAAATGAAAGTCGTTAAGAAACTTAATTTTAAAACTGCGTTGCAAAATTTTGTAACAATAGAATTTATAAAAGATTTGCTTTTTTTTAAAGTTAAAGCGTTTTTAAATATCCATTCAGCGTAAGGGTTTTTGTTTTTGGCAATTAAGAGTAAACTGCTTTTGACAATAAATGAACAAAAGTAAAAATTATCAGTCCTTGTAACTATCGCGCAAGTTTAATTTTTAAATGAATGAGCTTTTGATCTTTAACATGCTATTTTATAAAATTGAAAGAAAAGATTTATTTTACTTGAAATTTAGTTTACTTGAAAAACTAAATTTAGTTTACGTGAGGAAAAGAAAAAAACGAAGTATAAACTTTTTCAGACAGTTTTTTTTCTTTCAGTATTCTTTTTAAAATAATAAAAAAAAAGGTTTCAATTACTTAATAAAAGTTTTATTTAGATCTGTTTAAAATAACCCATAGACTATGGGTTATTTTAGTTGGTTATTACTATGGCATGGGTGAAATGGGTTATTACTATGGCATAGTAGATGTAATTTATTTATTCAAATGAAATTTCTAAATTATTCTTAATAATTAAAAAAATACTTTTTTTTAAATAATGTTTTTAAAAATATAATTTGGTTTTTAATCAAAATAATAAAATATTTTTTAAATTATGTTTACTGTAATTATCTCTTTAATTATCTTAAATTTAAAAGGCGCCTTAAAATCACTTTAAAAATTACAACCTTTAGTAAAAGTTCAATGAACAGATTTACTAATATTTAAATCAAAATTTAAAATTTTAAATAATAGAAAATAAGTTTATTAGATGCTTATATTTTTATTCGAATAGTTTATCAAATACGTTTATTAAATGCTTATTGAATTTGTTTATTAAATGCTTATGTTTTTAATTCAAATACAAGATGTAAAACTATTTTGTTAATTTTACAAATATTACGCGATATAATATATGTGAATATATTATGTAATGTAAATATTGATTAAAAATTATTTAAAATAATTTTAATTATATTTTAAATTAAATTTACTAAAATTTAGTTAAAAATACTTTAAACAATTTTCAATAATTATTTACTGATAGTGTGGTATATGCAACAAAAGCGTTTATTAAAATCTTAGGTAAAATAGTTTTTTTTAGCTAAAGGAACATCGTCCACCAGTAAATTCATGTATTCAAAAAATGCCTTTAAATAAACACCTTTTTATAGTATAAAACTGAACAAGATAAACATGTGATGAAACAAGATAAACAAATGATTATTAAGGAAATTATGATTAAAAATTATTGTTGCGGCACCCATTTAACTAGAGGAGAATGAGGGGGAGGGGAAATCAAAAGCGTATCAAATCCCCCCCCCCCCCCCTCAATGCTGCTGAAAAAAAACGGTACCCCCAAATAAACTCTAGGTTCTTCACTGTATATATATATATATATATATATATATATATATATATATATATATATATATATATATATATATATATATATATATATATATATATAGTATGTATATATATATATATATATGTATATATATATATATATATATATGTATATATATATATATATATATATATATATATATATATATATATATATATATATATATATATATATATATATGTATACGTATTAGTGCTTGCATATATCCTTGGTTAGGTTCTTCACTGTATATATATATATATAGGTTCTTCACTGTATATATATATATATATATATATATATATATATATATATATATATATATATATATATATATATATATATATATATATATATATATATATTTATGTATACGTATTAGTGCTTGCATATATCCTCGCAAGAGTGCTCCATGAATTAAAGTAAATTAAAATGATTTAAATTAAAATTAAAATTAAAACAGAGCTGTATATATATATATATATATATATATATATATATATATATATATATATATATATATATATATATATATATATTATTTATAAATAAAACTGCATATTTTTCACAACTATTACTTTCATACTAAATGCAATCATCAGGTGTAAATATGTTTTTTTTCTCGTAAAAATAATAAATCTGTACAAAAGAAAATGAGTTAAAAAATCTAATCTTTTGGTTTTTTTTTTCCAGCAAAAACTTGTTCTCATGGCGACATTTAGATATTAGTTTGTTTTTTTTTGTTTAATAATTCTTGAGGATTTTTATACAATAAAATAATTAGTTTTTCATATAAGCATAACAAGCATTTTTTGGTTATGTTGTTGTACGCGGGGCATATTTTATGATGGACCATTTTAAATTGGGTGTTGTTTTTGTTTTATTATGTGTATCCCATATATATTTAGAAAGCGTGGTTCCATTTGTAAGTTTTTTATTTTTGATTGATAAAAAACTCACAAATGCAATATATATATATATAATATATATATATATATATATATATATATATATATATATATATATATATATATATATATATATGTCATTTAATGACATGTCAAGATAATGTCATTTTTTTTTTTTATTTTTAAAATCTTTTATTCTTTTGTTTAGAAAGTACCCTCACGAGTACACTCATCTGATCCCAATCCTGGAATTGATTCTTCAAATTCAACATCTAAGTTGATTAAAAATGGTAACTTTTTTGTTATTTAGTTAGGATAGAATGTTTTTGTTTATTACTTTTTAACTTTTTACACTAGTAACTACAGTTAATAATCAAAAAACATAGTAAAGGCAATCTAAAATGAAATAAATATAAACTAATTATGAAATCTTACAAAATTTAAAATATTTTTTAACTTTACAAAGAATAATAATTGCTTTTTCAAAGATTTATAACGCTGAAACATTTTATAGTTTTTAAACTTTAAAATGCAGAAAAAACTCTATGTGCATTTGTACAAATCTTTATAAACATTGAAATATTCCCAATAAAAAGGTGAAGCTCTGTTTTTCTATGTTCAACTAATTTTTCCAACCAATGCAGTTGGAGGCTTATCAAGGTATAAAATTCTTGGAAAAAAACAAATTTACTTATATCTGCAACCACCTGCAAAAAAGGTTTTTAGTTAGAGTCTATGGATCCAAACATTCTTTTTAATGTAAAGGGTTTTTTTGTGTTTAAAAATATCTTCTTCCAAAGACATTGTAAATCGTTTTGCACCGGTGTCATCAAACCTTTTTTAGCTTGAATGTTTGTCTAAAGGATCAAAAATATTTTAAATATATTTCAGAAATCTCTGTCCTAAATCTACTGCAATTCTTGCTATATTGGAGTAAGGATCTAAGTTTTACTCTTTGATTGTGTGAAAAATAAGAAATAATGAATTTTGAACAAATACTTATGTCTGCATTAAGTTTTTATCTTCTAATATAAATGCTTCTTTTTGACATCATATAATTTCAACAAAGAATCATGTAATTCTACCATTAGAAACCTAATAATGGAGGAATTAGCCTAATAAACATCAACCATGTTTTTACCAAGATTTTTCTGCAAGTTAGTGCAAAGAATCTTCATTTTTCTTTTGGACAAGTTCAAATCGTTTGAAAGTTCCATTATGACATCAGAAGGGACCAAAACCAAAAGTATTTTAGATTTTGTATCTACTAACAACATTTAGTGTATTTCCAAGAGTTTTAAGAAATTTCAATATATTTTCTATTTTATTTTTGAGTAGTCCGGAATAAGTCTAACAAAGTCATTAAATATCTTGATTTCTAGAAAATGTTTGTTTTTATAAACAAATATTTTCTTGAAAAAATGTAATTATACTACATTTTTTCAATATGATTGAAAGTTTCAGATTTAATTTAAAAAACCATTTTACATTTAAAATTCAGATTTAAGCACCTGATGTTATTTGTTCCTTACCTACATGTATATATATATATATATATATATATATATATATATATATATATATATATATATATATATATATATATATATATATATATATATATATATATATATATATATATATATTGTATTATTTATATTATTATTTATATATATATATATTTTATTATTTCTCGCTTGACTCGTCAGAAAAGTCTCATTCTTTTACTTTATCTGTCCCTTCATGCTCTAAAAACTTTTATTCATCTAGTTATTTTTCTTCACACATCAATGCTTTAGAAACTCTTCCCCATCTTCATGTTTTCTTAACTCATACAACCTAAAACTTAAAACGTAAGTCCTTGCTTAAACTCTTTGGCTTCAATTCTTTGATTTCTTGATTCTTTGATTAATTCTTAACTTAATAGTAGTTGCTTTGTGCCTTGTTGGGAATGAATTAGATTTTAAAAAGATTTTTTGATGCATTTACAATTAATACCTGTGATATTTATTATTTTATTATAAGCTTTTAAAAATTTAATTATTTCTTTCTATATCAAAATCATAATTTTCAAAATAGTAGAGAAAATTTCAATTTAAAACATGATATATAGGTTATATAATTACACTATTTATTATTATGTTATATATTATGTTATATAGTTACACTCTTTATTATTATAATAATTAGATTATACAGGTTTAAATACAGAAGTTTAACAGTTATATATATTTAATTAGGAAAATGTAACATAAAAATAAAGACAAATAAGATAATTTTAAAAGGGTGCTTAGTGAGTTTTATGAGATCCTGAGGTTTAAGTGTCTCAGTTGGCTTACATAATATTATACAGAGTATAACACCAAGTTGGATTACATAATACAGAACACCAATTTTCTTAATTACTGCTTATTATTTTGACAAAATTTAAGTTGCATCATTTATTTTACACTATGCAAATTCAGATTGTCAACAGGGAGTGATTTGCTGATTACTAAAGAGTTTAAGAATTTAATGTTTTTCATATATTATATTATAATTTTCAATCATAATTTTGATGAAACCACTCTTCTTTATCTTCTTATCTTATCTTTCCCCCTCTCTCCTATATAGTAGTTAATATATGAAAAGTTTGTAACTTAAAAAATTTAGAAAATTTTTTTGAAAAAACTTTTCAAAAGAAGATAAAATATTTTTGTTAATTACTTTTTAAATACACTTTAGTAACTACAGTTAATAATCAAAAAATATAGTAAAAGCAATCTAAAATGAAATAAATAAAAACCAATTATGAAATCTTACAAAAATTAAAATATTTTTTAACTTAACAAAGAATAATAATTGTTTTTGTGAAATTTGTGTAAATTTAAAACATTTTAAACCTACAAAATAACTTTAACATTTATTCTACTCATTTTGGTTATTGATTTAGAAAGAATTTTTGGGTTCTTTTGTGATACAAAAATCACATTTTGAAAGTGATCTTCATCTCTTGTGATACAAAAAGCACATTTTGAAGGTGATCTTCATCTCTTGTGATACAAAAAGCACATTTTGAAGGTGATCTTCATCTCTTGTGATACAATAAGCACATTTTGAAAGTGATCTTTATCTCTTGTTATACAAAAAGCACATTTTGAAGGTGATCTTCATCTCTTGTGGCATTAATAAAGTTTTGAATTAAAATTTTTGATGTTCTGCTCCATTGTTGACCTCTGTAAAGATTTTAAGTATTTTTATGAAATCTTGGAAACCTATGTTAGATCTTCATCACTGACCCAACTTTCAATGTCTTTCTAACAAATATCAAAATCTTTCAAAATTAAATGTTCTCATAAACTAGTTCTGCTAGTACTGCGCTCTCAAAAGTAAAATTTTTGGTTTTGAACGATCAAACTCCTCAGGAAAATCATACTTCAACAGTCAGATATTTTTCTTCTTTTCAATGAATAATCTTTGTTCCCTATAAGTCAAAAATTTTCTTCCCTCTTAAGTCAGTACTGCTAAGTGTAGTTTAGCATTAATTTTTATTATAGCAAGTTAGCAGTAGCAAGTTAGTTTAGCAATATAGGAAGTTTTAATACCTAAGAGATCATTTTTTAAATTTTATTTTAAACAACTTAATTTCCATAAAGGCTGCAAGAAACCACAGTTAGAGTTAAAAGTTACTGGATGAAAAAAGATAAAGTTTATAAAGCAAGATAATTAACAATAGACAATTTAAAGTATTGCAAATTATATGAATCAGGAAAACAAAATAAATGAAGCGTATTCCAAAGAATTGATATTTAGAAAAAAAACCAGACGAATAAGAATTTTTGGAGCACTTACGAACAGTCACAGTTAAAGAATGAGAGTTAATTGAATGACAAGTAACATGAGAATGAATTTTAGTAGGTGGCACAAGAGAAGCTAGCTCTTTAGAGCAGTGCCCATTATAGTATTTATAGAAAAGAGATAGAGAAGCAACATTACGAAGATGTGACAATGATTGAAGGTTGGTTGCAAGTGCAGGTCCAACTATGTTTACAATGCGTTTTTGCACCTTGTCTAAAAGAGAAAAAGGGTATTGAAGGTCCACTCCAGATATGACAACAGTATTTCTTACTAGGATGGATTTGAGATTTATAGAAATTAAGAATAGAATAAAAGTAAGAAAGTGACAAGCTCAATAAAGAGATGGAACCTTAGCAGGTGCTAATTTTGCAATCAATTCAATATATGGTTTCCAAGAAAGATGGAAGTAAGAGTTAATCCTAGAAGATAAAAGGTAGATGACTACATTATTTGCTGGAGCATTTACACTAACTGAACTTTTAAGGAACCAAAGTTTATAACAGATTGCAATAAAAGTGCTGGCCTCCTTTTTTTTTTTTTTTACATCTATGTAAACATTTTTATATAATGAACTTCATTTTTTTTTCAAATTAAGACTTAGGGGGAAATTTGGAGAAACTGAAGTAAGAAATCTATCAATAAGGCTACAGTTAAATAAAAGAGAAATGATTCATGGATTCTGTAAATAACATTGCAGTGACCCCTTATCCCACTCAACCCCCCTTCAAAAAAAAAAAAAAAAAACACCTGTCATTTTGAAAAATAAAAAAAAGCTTTTTACATTGGAAAATGGCTTTATTTGTTCTCGCCTTATTGGGTATGATGTGTCCCCCTATACATTTGTATAGCCATTTGGGCTCCCCACCAAATGGCTATACATATGTATAAATTTTTATTTACAAATTCAATTGCTAATTTCTGCTTCATTTTTGACATGTTAAAAATATATTTTATAGAAATGTAAATATATATGTATATATACTGTTTACGAGAGCTATATATATATATATATATATATATATATATATATATATATATATATATATATATATATATATATATATATATATATATATACATATATGTATATATATATATATATATATATATATATATATATATATATGTATATATATATATATATATATATATATATATGTATATATATATGTATATATATATATATATATATATATATATATATATATATATATATATATATATATATATATATATATATACACGATATACATACGCACATACTTGCATATATATTTAGACGAAACATTCTCATCAGACTCTCAAAGTGATAGTGAAGCAAAAAATGAGGTAATATTTTTTAAAATATTTTTTAATTAATCTCTTAGTAAAGAATATTATATGTATGCTTATTTAAAGTTCTGCTTGGATTGAATTGATTATTATTAAATGATGCTTTTCTATTTGAAATTTATTTATGGTATAAATTACAATATATATATATATATATATATATATATATATATATATATATATATATATATGTATATATATATATATATATATATATATATATATATATATATATATATATATATGTATATGTATATATATATATATATATATATATTAAATACTCTTAAAAATATATCTATATTTTTAAGAGATGATTTTTTTTTAAAGTTTATGTATGATTACTTCTTCAGCAATTGATTTTAAAATGTCTAGAAACCACCTAGTAGAAAGCTTTTTTTGATTGCACAAGAAATATTGACAACTGAAAGAAGTTTTGTTAATGCTCTCAAACTTATATGTGAGGTAAGTTTCTTCCTCTACTCTTTTCTCTTCTTTCTTCTCCACCCTTCTCTCTCCTCCCTCCTCTACCCTCTTCCCTCCTTCTTCTGTATTTGTTAATGCTCTCTTAAACTTTTATGTGAATTTGTTTGTTTAATACAATTTATAAATTTATACCAAATAAAATAATCAAAAACTTAATAAAATTAATAAATAAAATAATGTAAAATAAAAAATATAAAACTAATAAGCATAAAAAAAATATTATTAATAAACTAGAATGCAAAGATTCTCCAGTAATGCACTATAATAAACATCATTTAATTATGTTAAATTATGTTTAACAACTTGGTTAATAATTTGTTACTTAAAAATTTATTAATAACTTTATATTATAATTTTTAAATATTAAATATTCGACATGAAATATTAAAATCATAAATAAAATATAAGTATCTCACTTATTAAAATCATAAATAAAATATAGGTATCTGCAATATTTATATGCAATTTTTAAAACTTTTATTTATTACATATTTTTTATTATTTATAAAAACAATATAATTTTTTTAAAAACAGGATTTCAAAGAGAAAGTTCATGCTGCTCTTGCAAAAAATAATAAATTTCTTCCTGAAGGAGCTTTTCAAGCCATTTTTATGAATGTTGAACAGATTTATGAACTTGACAAAAAGTTTTTGAAAGAACTGGAAGAAAGGATGGAGAAATGGTATCTTTTTACAATTTTTTTCAACAAAAATGTTTTAATTTTTACCAAAAAGTATAATCATAACTACTGTTACATCACAATACCAAAAGGTGTTTTTATAATATGATGTGTAAGATGTGTTTATATTAAGGTGCTTTTAAAGTATGATGTGTAAGGTTAATAATAAGGTGTTTTATAAAATATGTTATTAGGTAGTTTTTTTAAAAATTTTAATAAGATATTTTAAGGTAATTTTTTAAAAATTTGTTTTGCTTAATATTATTTCAGCAATAACTTTTGTTTGGTCAGTTAAATTTGATTGGTCAGTTAAATTTTGTATATTTACAAGTCTGTGAGTGGTCAAAATATAAATCAAATCTGAGTTAGTGCTAATGTTGCTGTTTGAGGACTTGTAACTGACTTGGTTCTGTATTTTCAAAATATTAGTGCTGTCCCCAACTGACAACAAAACAGATAATCTATCTACTTTTCAGTGCCAATGGAATAATTAATTTTGTTACTTATAAAATCATATTAACACAACCACCATATGCCGTAACTTATAACATCATATTAAAACAACCATTATATGCTGGTAACTTATAACAACAACCACTATATGGTAACTTATAACATATTAAAATAACCACTATATGCTGGTATCTTATAACATCATATTAACACCAAAAAATATGTAACTGATATTACATCATATTTTTGGTTGTATTTTAACTTATCAATTTTAACAAATCAATTATAATAAGTTGAAGTTTGAGTTTAGCAAGGGTCTTGTTGATTCTGCTTTTTACCAGAGGTTCTATTGATTTTTTAAAAATCCTGCATTCAGGATAGTTTAGTTAAAACAAAATATTATCAAACTAAACATTAATCAGTTTGCTGTTAAACATCATCTTTAAAAAATGAAGTTTAACAGCAGTTTAATTCAAGCTAGACTGAATTATTGGTAAGCATATCTGCATCATTTTTGCTCACATGTTTTACCTTTACATGTTGTCAAAATGTTATTATTCCAAAAACTAACATTTCTTGATAAAGTGCTATAGTAATAACAGATCCAGGGAAAGGAATGTTTCTGCCCCCCTAAAAAATTTATGGAGTGTAAAGTTACCACAATTATGATGATAATGATGATAGTAATTTTGATTTAAAAAAATTATAGTTCATTACTAATAAATTTATTTTTATAAATTTATTATAAATTTGATAAGTAAATGCCAAGCTTGTGATCCGTTTTTCCTAGTTATTCTTTAGGTAGCTTCGACCATGCAATGATCTTTATAAATCTTTTATCATCCTATCATGACACTACTTATTACTACCCTTAAGCTGACTGGGATTCTTTTTGTGATTTTCTTCATGATTAGTCTTCTTTCTATTATTAACAGACTTTGATCAAGAAATTTCTAACATCCCATTTTGAGTCAAATATCGTACTGTCAGACAATCAATATGTTTTTTGATCTTCTTGCTCTACAGCTAAGTTGCTAACTGCTGTGACTAAGAGATTTTATTGTGCATTTAATGGAGGCAGCAAGGCTAGGGCTGTTGCACTTGACATTTCTAAAGCTTTTTATAAAGTTTGGCATGCTGTTCTTCTCCATAAGCTTACTTCATGTGGTGTATCTAGGAAAGTTTTTGAGATAAATAAAGCATTTCTTTTTAACTGCTTTATCAAAGTCATCTTTTTTATTTCCAGTAATTCCTGGGGTACCTTAAAGTTCTATTCTTGTCCTGTATTTTTTTTTATCTACATTAATGATTTTCCTGACATTCTGACATCTAAAGTGGCTCTGTTTGCTGATGACTTTATACTCCTGTATTGACAAAAAGTCAAGACAGGAGTATAATCTTTTCGCTTAGAAAAGTTTATACTCCTTTCGCTTAGAAAAGTTTATACATCTTTTCGCTTAGAAAAGTCGATCTTAAATCTGATTTCACTTCTGTAGCAGGGCCTTGGTAACAGATTGGGGCTTGGTAACAGATTGGGGCTTGTAGTGGCTTGTGAATTTTAATTTCAACAAAGCTCAGTTATTTACTGCAAACAACTATTACAATACTGTCAATGTTCCTATATTGATGAATGACAGCCCTCTTATTTAAATCCTCTTCTTTGTCTTCTTAGAATATTTTAGACTTTTCCAGGATGTTAGCCAGAAAGAAAATTTCAACATTTTCAATGGCATTTTCAAGATATTGGGAATTTATGTCAAAAAAAAGATCAATGCATTCTGAAAAAAAAGTTTTAGCAAATTAAGGTTTCATCTAAAAAGAAAAAATTTGACATTTTTAGATACATAAATATCTTTGAAATGTGGACAACTGTTTGCAATTAAAATTTGAATGAATTTGATACTTAGATCTATTTTAATTGTGTACATTGCTTTTAAATACAGTTTTAAAAAGTTTAAACAATTATTTACATATATAGTCTTCTCTTATATTTATTTTTATTTTTATATTATAAATGTAAGAAAAAAAAAAAGCTTAATATTTTTCAATTTTTAATAAAACTTTTTTGACAGTTGCCATGATCCTCTTGTAACTTTAAATAGCTGAAACCACTTTTTAATCGACAACTGTTGATAAGACAACTCTCGATTGATTGTCTCAATTGATTGTCTTGTTTGATTGTCTCGATTGTTTGATTGATTGTCTCGATTGTATGGAAATATAGATATTCATATTTTTGTTTATCTAATTTTATATTATAATTTTTATCATGAAATAGTTTTGTTTTAATTAGTTTTGTTTAAATTTTAATTAAATTTATAGTGATTTTAAATTGCTTTAAATATAATATTTAAGGCTTTAAAATGTTGTCAACAATAGGTAAAAAAACTTATCTAAAAAAACTTGCTTGGTTTACCTATTTCAGTCAAATAGGATGTAAGTTAAACAAGTTATCCTTGCAATATGTCATTTTAGAATAAATTTAAATAAGTAACATTTAAGGGTGAGATTTATTTACCATACGAGGGCAGCAAGTAAATTTAATCAGCACATTTAAATATCTAGTATACATTTAAATATCTAGTATTTAAATTAAAAAAAAAGGAATATTTGAATACAAAAACAATTTTTTTTTTTGATTTACAAATACAAAGTTTACGTAAATTTTGTATTTGTAAATTTAAAACAAAAATAAAAATTTTTGGTATTAATTATTGTTTTTATTAATTAAAATTTTGCATTTGTAAATAAAATAGAAAAATATTATTTAATATTATTATAAAAATTTATTTATATTTAATTATCTTCTTTTATGTTATACAAATATAACATCAAAGATATGTTTCATTGCAAGTTTCATTTTTGATTTTTTGTTGTTATTTTTGGTGTACTTTATAAGCAAATTTAGCAAATGTATTTTTGATTCCTTTAATATAAAAACATTATTAACTTATTTTAAAGTATATTATTTATTAATTATTAATATGCAAAAATTTTTGTATCTTTTCTAACATAAAATATCCAGTTAAAATGTAAGTAAAAAATTTTTGAATAATAAAGATACATAAAAGTAATAATTAATCAAACATATTAAAAAATCTAAACTTGAGAATAACTTCATTAAAAATCAAGTTTTTATATTTTGAATGATTGATCTTGATTGATAATGACAAAACTTTTTTTCACATTAAAGAAAAAAGATCAATCAACTTTAAAATCAAAAATTCATTTTTTCATTGTGCGTACTAATTACATTTCCTATGCATCCAACATACCGCCTTAAATCTAAGCCTGATATAGGTTTTTTTGATCTTTTGAACCTTTGGGAATTTCCATTGATCTTTTGAACCTTTGGGAATTTTAAACCAATTTGGAGTTTCATGTTATACCCGGTGCGATCAGGCTGGCTAACACCAATACAATATAACTATAATCATCTACTGTTATAATAAAATTATCATATTTTGAACTATGAAGATTTTCTTCCTTGCAATTAATTTAAAGAAACCTTTAAAAGATATTTAAAGTTGTTTTACACTACTTTACAATATATAAATTTATTGAACACTATGTTGCAATATATAACAATTCTTGAATATAAAGTGTTTGAGGATTTTATCAACTTTATTCAATTTGTTTGATAAGTCCTCTATACCTGCTGCAATTTTCATTTTCTTATGTTTATAGTAATGTGGGTAATAAATTTTTATAGGGAGCATCACAAGCGCATTGGAGATATTATTAGATCATATAGTTACTTTCTTAAGGTAAAATTTTCCATAGATATGTATATAGATAGTCCGCACATAAGTATTCAGTTGTACAAAAAACCTAACTAATCACTATTTTCCATGCGTTTAGATTTAAAATTTATAAAAATTTTGCGACAATTATATTTATTTTAATTGTATAAACTTTATTGTTTAGATGTACGTTACATATATAAAGGGTTACGACAATGCTATGCTGGTTTTTCACGATTGCCTGTCAACAAACCTCAAGTTTGCTCATCTTGTGGCCGAATTCGAGGTTTTTAAATTTTTTAAATTTATTTCTTATTTCTTAGTATATATTTTTCAACTACATATAGCAATTAAATATTTTTTTCTTTTTATATTCTATATATTCACCTTTCTAATAATGAAGTAGCCAGTCAACAAGGGCATTATATTTTTTCTTTAATATATTGTTCTAACCTTCTAACAACTTTCTAAATAACTCTAAGTATAAACCTTGATAAACTTGGCTGTTGTACAAAAAACAATTTGAGCTTGTTACTACCAAATAGAGTAGGTTTAAACTTTGGACCTATTAAAAAAGTTATTCTTTAATTCATTTATATTGATAAAATATTTTTTACTATTATAAATGAATTAAGTTATGCAGTTTGTCAATAATTTATGTTATATTATTAATCATGCTATTGCTAATAAATCATGTTTGTAAGTTATGTAATTACAATTTAATTTGCCCACATTTAACTAAATATGTATTTACTTTTTTGTAAAGTAAAATTTTTTCATTGTTATCAGTAAAAAATAGAGTTTTGTTTGGGTTAAGATTAATCTGTTACTGCAAGCTCCAAGTTATTTTGTTTGGGTTAAGGTTAATCCATTAATCCAAACACAAAAGTAAGATTGCATTTACGATCGACTGCTGTTCTTAGTGATTAAAACATTGACTTTTTATCAAGAGTATTAAGTTCTGTCATCAGTTACTAGGAAGATCATTAATAAAGATGAGCAACAATGCAACACCAAGAATAAAATTTTGTGGTACCTCAAAATACCATAAAATGTTATTGAAAAAAAAGAAGTGTTGTCCATTAAGAACAACATTAATACTAAAATCAGAATGAAATGATTCAATGGAAGAAATTCCACTTGAAGATCTTCCACTGATGGAAGAACTTTCACTGACGGAAGAACTTTCACTGATGGAAGAACTTCCACTGATGGAAAAATTTCCACTCATGGAAGAACTTCCACTGATGGAAGAACTTCCACTCATGGAAGAACTTCCACTCATGGAAGAACTTCCACTCATGGAAGAACTTCCACTCATGGAAGAACTTCCACTCATGGAAGAACTTCCACTCATGGAAGAACTTCCACTCATGGAAGAACTTCCACTCATGGAAGAACTTCCACTCATGGAAGAACTTCCACTCATGGAAAAACTTCTACTGATGGAAGAACTTCCAATTAGGGGTTGTCCATTAATTACATTAACAAAATAGGGAGTAGGGGGGTCTGAACTTTTTTGACAATTGTTGACAAGGGGGAGGGGAGGAGGTCAATTAAAATTGATGTCATTATTATTATTATTATTTTTTTTGAGTTTGTAGCGTAGCTTCTTTGTATAGGAGAGGGAGGGGGAAATCAAAAATTGACATAATTTTATAGGGGGGGGGGGGTCTCTAGAAATTTGACAAAATGTTGACAAGTGGGAAGGGGGAGTTAAAAATTAAAAAAAAAATTGTTAATAATATTTTGCTCTAAATGTGTAACTAAATGTTTAATTGGCAATCTTTAAAATCTGTTAAAATTTTTTTTTTTTTTTTCCTAAAATAGTCTACTAATTGTATTTTTTTAAAATAATACAATGAGTAAACTTTTTAACTGAAGTGACCTGCACAGTCTTAGGAAAATTAGTACATTAAGTAAATAAAAAAGAAGTAGAAGAAGTTATAAAGCTTTTGTTATTTAAAAGTTCAAAGACTAATAATAGAGAAGATTTAGAGAAATTCAGAGAAGAGAATGTTGGACAATAGTTAGAGCGGTCAGAGTGATGTCCAAATTTTTTTTAATTGAATGCACAGATGCCATTTCCAGCAGACAAAAAAATAAAATTCAGTTATGCACCAGAGTACTAAAAAACACTTTTGTAAGACTCTGACAGTAATGTTGTATGGGCCACACTTGTTTTGCAAATAGTTCTGCTTTATTTATATAAGATAAAAGTTTTTGTGAAATTGTTGCATGGTCTGAACCACCTAAACAATAACACGGAGAAACTGTGCACAAATAAGGGTCAGAACACAAACTATGATCAGGGTGCAAAAATCAAAAAGCAATTTGTGGAAAATAAGTTTTAAAATTATTTTCTGGTTTCAAATTTAAATTGTTGTTAAAATGATAAAAAAGACAAAAGTTTTGAACTATAAAAGGATCCCTAACTGCTGAGACAATATATATATATATATATATATATATATATATATATATATATATATATATATATATATGTATATATATATATATATATATATATGTATATATATATATATATATATATATATATATATATATATATATATATATATATATATATATATATATATATATATATATATATTAAATGTTGACATCTTCAATAAATTTTATTTGTATAAATATTTTAAATAAAATTTATTTTGATGGTTTAATATCTATTTGTTAAAAATATATTTATTTTTATGATATTTCAGGGGAATATTTATACTCTCGTTATCAAGTATATTAAAAACCGTAATAAAAAATAAAACCGCCATATTATACCAAACCGTTTAAATTTATGAAACAATGTTCTTTGTAAGAGCTTCTTATTAAGAGTTTTTTGTGACGTAAGAATTTGAACATGGGTTTCCAAAATGACGGGGTCACATAATCGCCATCATACCGATTAAGATCATTGTTGCAAAAGGTACTTTCTTTGTGTTGCATTTCGGACGCTTCCCTAACTTTCCTATTAAAACTATTTTCTATTAAATGTTTCTATTTTTAAGGTATTGCACCATTCCAGTGAAAATTTCCTTTGCAAATTTTGGAATGTTCAGCTACAGCTGAATTTTTTCCTTTACCTTGTTGTGCACTTGTTTGATGCTGGACCATATCTTTAGTCCAGTTTCACCAACATAACATTTGCCACAAGAGCACTCTAATTTGTAAACACCAGGATAGGAATTAACTGGTAGTGTATGTTTATTTTTGGAAATTAGTAGAGTTTAAAGTTTTTTTGGAGACTTAAACACTGGTGCATATCCTGCTTTTTTAAAAACTCTTCTTAACTTAGGACTGATTCCAGGGATCCAGGGTAAAGTCACAAATCTTTTTGGAGACATTAAAAAATGTTGATTTTTTGTGAGATCTTTTTTTTTTGTAGACTTAACTTGTCGATAAGATTTTGGATTTTGTTATCTTATAAGACAGAGTGGAGCCAGCTTATTATATTAAAACAGAGTGGATACTGGATGAATTACCTCTCAAGTCTTTGAATAGGATGCTTTATACACAACAGTAGCTGTATGCAGTTCACATCTCCCCAAAGTGAGTATTTTTGTTAGTTTACTATCTCTAGTATACTTAAACAAAAGTCTCATCAGAGGAGTCTTATAAGTTACAGTTTCTTTTGGCTTTTTCTGAAAATTTTTTACAAGGCAGCAGTAAATGTGGCAGGTTGTATGGAAGTACATGTTACCACTACCAAAGTTGTCATGACAATCCTGAATTGACTTGACTTGAAACATTAAAACATAAATTACCAATACATATTAGGAACCGTATAAAAAAAATAATCAGAAACCTTATGAAGTATTAGAAACTAAATAAAATATCAGAAATTATATGATATCAAAAACTATACAAAATATCAGGAACTAGATAAAATATCTAAAACCATATATCAGGAAGTTTTCAAGGTACCTCTAGTTATACAGTATGCTAAAAATTAGGTATTAAATATTGTATCAACATAAAAATGTTTGCAATATGTATTTAAAAATTAAAAAAAAAAAAAATTAATAATAGAAATTTAAAATAAATTCTTCCGTACAATAATAAAAATAAACAATAGTATGTTGAAACAAAAAGTTTAGTGCATGTATTTTAATGTTATGTGAATAAAATATTACAAGTTTTGTTGAAAAAGTTTAGCCGTCAGTGTTTTCATGTTATGTTGAAAAAATTTAGTTACCAGTCTTTTAATCTAATGTTGAAAAAAAAAATTAATTATCAATTTTGTAATGTTAATTAAAATTTTTTTTTTAATATTTTAGGAAAAGAATATGAAAATTTCTAGTTATCTATTGAGACCTATTCAAAGAATCCCAAGTTATCGACTTCTTCTTAAAGGTTTTTAATTTTAAAAGTTTTATTATTAAACTTTTATAATTTAATTTAAATTTATTGTTTTATTCATTCTTCTTAAAAGAATTCTTTACATATACAAAAAGTAAACTCTTTACATATACAAACTTTTTTTATGCAAGTAGACCTTTTTAAGTACAATCTTGCTATCATAAATATTTTAAAGGATTTGTATTTATTTTGTATACAGAACTTGATAAAATATAGTAACATCAGATGGAAAATTACTTCACAAGAAATATTCCTTCAAATTTTACTTCTTAATAGTAGTTTTGTTTGTATACCTTTTTAACATACATCCATCCCAGTCCTTTCTTTTAACATTCAATCCTAGTCCCCTCTTTTAATCCATTGTTTGGAATTAAAAAGATGGATCATTTCTGGTTGTTATCAAATTGTGAAGTATAAATGTTTAAATTTTTGTTGTAAAAGGAGTTTAAAGTTCTGTAATGCATATATCTGCAAATAAAAATAAAATGTAAAAAACATTTCTAATATAATAGAAAGCTGTAGTAACAAGTGAAACTAATATTAATTTATTTTATTTTGATAGCATATACATAGTTAAGTTTTTCTAGGTAATTTGAATTTTATAGAAATTAAAAATTCTACAGTTTAAAAAGTATTGATGCAAGTTTTATTTTTGTTCTAGCTTTCACTTTTAATAATGTTCAGGTAGTCCTGTAGTTTATTCCACATTGGTGTGGCTTTTGTTTGTAAAGAAGTGGTGATGAAAATTGCAAGTTTCAATGACTTCTATTCTTATTTTGAAATTATTTCCTCTTTAGTTGGGTTGATTTGTGGCAAAATTATCTTTATTTAATTTTATATTCTTTAATTTTTTTGATGTTTTGTACATTTGTATTAAGTTGCCTTTTTCATGTCTTTTTTCCAGTGTGCTTAATCCAATTATTTTAGTTCTTGTTTTGTAACTTTCAGGATTATAAAAAAATTAAAACCATGTATTATTTTGTTTTATTTTTTGTAATAGAAAAAGTAAAGGTAATTTGATAATTTTGGGCTCTATTAAATCTTTGCACCCAGGGCAATTTCCCCATTGGCCCCTTGCCACCCAAAAATAGCATTTTAGCATAGGGCTTTTCCCACTTGGCATGCAAAGCACGCAACTGTTTATATGGGCATAAAATATCCGGATAGTTAGCTTTATGTGCTTTTCAAGCCCAAGATTTTGAAGCTTTTTTAGTAACATTTCAAACAGAATCTTTGATGATATCCTTTAATGTGCAAACTAATAAACTCTATACTTTCAAAATTTATTCTCCAAAAAAATTTAATTTGTTTGCTCATATTAAATGAAATTTCAAATATTTTGAGTCAAATATAGTAAAAAAAATTATATAGAACTTTTGCAAAACCACATCTTGAGTTTGCTATTCAAGCATGGTGTTCTTATCTGAACAAGTTAGAAAAAGTGCAAAGAAGAGCTGCAAAACTACCAGCTTTAAAAAAAATGCCATATGAAAGAAGAGAACAGTTAATGAAATTAACAACTCTAGAAGAGTTTGATATTGAATCTCATAGAGGGGGCCAGGTTGTCCCGAAGAGGTCTTCCATGAGAGGAGGGGGTGTATGTATTTTTTTGCCAACTAGAGACACACAAAAAAAAGGTCTTCAATATTTCCAATATGCCAACCATAGCTCAATGTGCCAACGCAAGTGCTTTTAAGACAGCTTTGGGGGGGAGGGGACCTCAGGACAGCCCTGGGAGTAAGAGGTTGTTCCAAAAATTAGATGTACCCAAATAATTTCCTGGGTCCGCCACTGCTGTATTTATTATTAATCATTTACCTCTATTAACATTGGTAAAATCACAGCCAATCACAACCAACAGCAACTAGAGATTCTATACCATAGTTTCATGTGTATTGTCGTTGAATTTCCAGTTTTTTTTCCAAAATCACACCTAATGGATATGTAAACAATAATTAGTTGTGCATTTTGAAATGCTATATAATTGTAAGACTAAGCATAATCTAGCTCTTTTTTTTAAAAAAAAAGAGATCTACTGTGCAGAGGGTGCCAATCTTGCCCAATAAGTGCGGCAAAAACTTCGCAGAGACCCATTTATTAAAAAGCATTGTATATTATTATTACTATTATATATATATATATATATATATATATATATATATATATATATATATATATATATATACACTCAATTAATTGTTTTGTTTACTTCAAATATTTTCATACTTAAAATAAATTCTATAGTTATCAAGATGTAAAAATTCCATTATGCTGTTACGCGGTTACAAATTAAAAGCATTTAAAAGCATGCAAATTGTTATAAAAGAAAATTATTAGGAAATAGAATGCAAAAGCATGCAAATTGCAAACTTCTTCTGTATTCAAGATCTTTTTCTGTATCCAAGATCTTTTTCTGTATATAATCGTATCATTATTTGGTCATTTCTTTTACAAATATAGTGATGGCTGTTTTTTCCAAAAGTGCATGTTACATTTCTCAGTATTAAATTTTAATTGTCACAGCTCAGACCATTTAAAAGCCTAGTTAATTTCATTTTGATGCAATTAAGGGTTATTGGAATTAACTACTTTCCTAATTAACTTGGTGTTATCTGCAAAATACTGTGAATTTTCTAAAATCTCTGGTGAATTTTCTAGAATCTGCAATTCTTGGGGAACACTGCTTGTTTTTTTTTTCATAGTTTGATGCTTCCTTCCCTTGTATCACTCTATAATATCTTTTTGTTAAAAAATCACATATTTAATATTGAACTGGATATTCCATAGGACTTCAATTCGACAAATAATTGTTTATGTGGCACCGTATCGAAGGCTTTAGTGAAGTCAATATAGCAAATGTCTACTGCTAATTTTTTGGCTGAAGATCTCAAAAAACCCATTTATATATATATATATATATATATATATATATATATATATATATATATATATATATATATATATATATATATATATATATATATATATATATATATATATATATATATATATATATATATATATATATATATATATATATATATATATATATATATATATATATATATATATATATAGTCTTGCATGGTAGTCGAAATATTTTTCCCATAAACTGTAGTTTTAAAGAGAGCGCTAATAAACCAGACCAGAAATAGTTTAAAAACTTGAATGATTTTTATTTTTATTAAATGGTAGACTGCCAGGTTGGAAAAAACCCAACCCAAATGGGTTTTTTTGGGTTTTATTGGGGTTTTTTTGGGTTTTTTAAAAAGCGATCAAAATACCAAATTTTTATTATTGTATGAGTTATTATGAAAATTGAGTTATTCAAAATTGGTAAGACAATATAAATGTTGCAAACTAGTTTTTTTTATTAACATGTTCAACATATCATTTCATAAACTACTTTGCACAAGCTTATAACATGTAATCAACAAGTTTGCAACATGATGATGCAAACTTGTAAGTTATTTTCAATCAGGATGACTATGAATACTTTTTAAGCATTTTTGCATCATAGAAAAAAACTGTTAGCCTAATCACTACATTTTTTTTTATCAGAACATTATACTGTCCAGCTTCCTGGAAAAGCCAGTTGATCAGCCTGATCAACTGGACTTAGGCAAAAAATGGATTTTCGCCTAAGCTTTGGTTGTTTTTAAAATATCTAAAATGAACTTGTTAAGAACCATTACAGTGTCTTCACCACCAGATTCTTTTTTTTTCCTTAAAGATGTTTTACCGGCTAAGTTTTGCAACTGAATCAAAGTAACACATTATATAGTTCTATTCTGTGTGTTTCTTCACCTTTTAGCAACTTGATACTGATGTTCATTCTCAACCTGCTGTTCATAGTCACCCCTGTTAGTAGTACATGTTGTAAACTTGTAGCTGATGCAAAATGTTCAAAACTTATCAACAAATGTCATTTTCACCAACAAATCTTGTCCTTGTGAAATGCATACAAGTTTTAAACGTGTTCTCTCATTGAATGAGCAAACATGTTGCAAACTTGCTTGCACATAACTTAATTTTTTTTATGTTTTAAATTTGTATGCACTTAATAAGGACAAGTCTAGGAAACTGTAGCATTTTTTTAAATTTCAGTACAAAGCTTTTGGCTTTGTACTGAAATTTGCAGTATACAACATAAGCTTTAAAAAATAAAAGATCAAATACCAATATAAAATGACATATAAAACGCTTGTTAGGAAATATAGACATTCAAAAGGAGAATAAAGATGCTAAATAACTAGTGATGTCTTGGAATTTAGTTAATAGAATGATTTTTATTTCCTTTATAAGTATTTATCTAATTTAATGTTTTAATACATATTTCAATAACATTTATAATAACATGCTATATGTTTTAAAAAAATAATAAATAACCAACTTGCTACAAAAACAGATTGATTGGTATTGGATATATTCTAAATACCATTATGTATATAAATAAAGTGTTTACAAGAGTAATTACAGTATAAAAGTTGCACTTGCTGATAATAAAGCATTTATAAGTGTCAAAATCAGAGTTGTAAAATAGGATATTTTTAAATAAACCCAAATATATTTTGGGTTTTTTTGGGTTTTTTAAGGTAGGTTTTTTTTAGGTTAGCTTTTTTTCCCAATCCTGTAGATTGCCTGCCCTAGCCAAACCTTCAGTCGATGTAGCAGCACTCCCTTGCAAGTCAGGCTATAAGATAGTCGATAAAGCAACACTCCCTTGTAGCAGCAGGGTATAAGATAGTCGATGTAGCAACGCTCCGCGCATGTTTTAAAAATATATTTTAATTAAACAACAACAAAAACACCATTAATTAAAAAAACTTTCTAGTCATTATTATTGCAGGTTTTTTAAAAAACAATAAAATTTAATGTACTTCCGCATTAATTTAATTGATTTGACATTTTGACGACAATAAAATGTAGCTTAATTGTTGTGGTAGCAAAATTGTAGTCGGAAGAGACTACCATTTTCCTACCAGACTACAATTTTTTTTTTTTTACATAAAAAGTCTCTTTCGACTACGATATAAGGATATATATATACACACACACACACACACACACACACATATATATATATATATATATATATATATATATATATATATATATATATATATATATTTAAGTTGTTTATTTCTTATATAATTTAATTTTTTTTAATTATATGTTATATTATTTTTATATTTTTACATTGTGTGATGTTACTTTGATTTATATAGAGTATTTGAAAAATCTCCCTAAAGATAGTGTGGATTTCAAGGATATAACAGGCAAGTAATTTTTGTTTAGTTATTAACAAACCTAATAATAAACATAAAAAATAAAATATAGCAAAAACATTTGCTGAAAAGTATAATCTTTTCTTACTAAAAAGTAGAAAATAAACTTTTTAATTTAAATTTAATAGTTCAGTAAACTAAAGATTGATAGATCTGCGCAAGGTTTATATAGAAACATACCTGTCAATCTTTAGTTTACTGAACTATTAAATTTAAATTAAAAAGTTTATTTTCTACTTTTTAGTACAAAAAAGATTATATTTTTGAGCAAATGTTTTTGCTATATTTTATTTTCTACTTTTTAGTCTTTACAAAAAGTTCCGATATATTAATATTAAACAAAATTTGAAAAAAAAAAAAAAAGTTTTTATAAAAGATTAAAAAAAAAAAAAAAAACCCACAAGCAATCTTAGCCAATTTTAAAAATGAAAAACTTTATTTATAAAATAATATATATTATTGAAAAAAAAAGAATAACAAACCCAAAAGAATAACAAGCAATATTAACTGATTTTAAATATAAATACATTTTTTTTTTTTTTTTTTTTTTAACATCTTCACTTCCAACAAGGCTGCAAGCAACCACTATAAGAGTTGGAAGTTACTGGAAGAGAAAAGACTAAATCTGTAGAGCAAGATAACGATTGACTGACGACTTAAAAGATTGCAAATTATATGAATCAGGAAAGCAAGATGAAGGAAGCGAATTCCAAAGAACTGAAGTTCGAGGAAAAAAACTAGAAGAATAAGAGTTTTTGAAGCACTTAGGAACAGTCACAGAAAAAGGATGAGACTTAATTGAATGGCGAGTAACACGAGAATGAATTTTAGTAGATGGCACAAGGGACGCTAGCTCTTTAGAGCAGTGCCCATTATAGTATTTGTAGAAAAGAGAAAGAGAAGCAACATTACGACGATGTGACAAAGGTTGGAGATTGGCTGCCAGAGCAGGTCCAACTATGTTTACAATTCGTTTTTGCACCTTGTCTAAAAGAGAAAGAGCATCATTAGAAGATCCGCCCCAGATGTGGCAACAGTATTCCATACAGGGACGGATTTGAGATTTATAGAGATAGAGAATAGAACCTGGAGTAAGAAAGTGTCGAGCTCGATAAAGAGATGCAACCTTGGCAGATGCTAATTTTGCAATGGATTTGATATACGGTTTAAAAGAAAGATCAGAAGTAAGAGTTAATCCTAGAAGATGAATGGTAGATGACTCATCTAGTACATTACCATTCATAAATATAGGAAGATCTAAATTATTACGATAACGATTGGCCGAATAAAATTGAGTTTTATCTGAATTAAAGTTCACCAGCCACTGTGAGCCCCATGCTGTAGCAGAAGTGAGATCCTTTTCAAGCTCAGATACCCCCTTCAAGCAGTCAGAGAGTGTAGGCTTCTTATCATGACAAGAGTAAATGGTAGTGTCGTCAGCGAATAATGCCACCTTAGATGTGAGAATATCTGGAAGATCGTTAATGTAAATTAAAAAGAGTATAGGGCCAAGGATTGAACCTTGAGGAACCCCTGAAGTTACAGGATGTGAAGAAGAGTGTTGTCCATCGAGGACAACTTTTATACTACGATTGGAATGAAAGGACTCAATAATCTTAAAGACGTTACCAGCTACACCATAAGAAGAAAGCTTATGAAGAAGACCAGCATGCCAAACTTTATCAAAAGCTTTAGAAATGTCAAGTGCGATAGCCTTAACCTCTCCACCTCTATCTAATGCACGGTAAAACCTATCGGTTATTACTGTTAGCACATCAGCTGTAGAACGAGAAGACCGAAATCCATATTGATGATCAGAAAGTAAGTTATTTAATTCAAGATGAGAGATTAAGTGTTTGTTGATTAAAGATTCAAAAACCTTGCTTATGACAGGAAGAAGACTAATGGGACGGTAGTTAGATGAATCAAATCGCTCTCCGGAATTTTTGAAAATAAGGATAACAGATGCTGCTTTCCAGCATGATGGAAAACAAGACTCTGATAAGCACTTGTTAAATAGTTTAGAAAGTATGGATGAAAGCTCCGGAGATCACCTCTGCAAGACTACAACAGGAATGTTGTCAGGGCCACAAGCTGTTGAAGAGTCTAAGCAGGAAATTACTTTAGATACAGAAGCTGAAGTGATGCGAATGTCAAGCAAGGGATCAACCTGTTTGACGGCTATGTCAGGTAAAACGCAACTAGTGGAATCAGGAGATGATATTGATGAAAAGTTCTTAGCAAACAATTCAGCTTTGTCTTTAGGTGAGGTGACAAAGTCTGAACCATACAAGAGAGAAGGAATAACAGATTTGCCCTTATTATTGATACTGTTAAAGATTCTCCAGAAGTCTCGAGAGCCTAATTTTTGTGATGAGACACAAGATTTAATGACCTGGGAATAGCGAGCTTTGGCATCAGACAAAATTTTTTTTACAATGGTTTCTGGCGATAGTGAACAGATGTCTGTTTTCTGGAGAATTGTTTTGCTGATAGATATGGAAGTAACGGTTTCGATTAGAAATTGCTGCAGCGCAATGTGAGGAAAACCAAGGAGAAGAGTGAGGCTTGACCTGGAATCGTCGAGAGGGAATAAAAGATTCCATGCCAGCCTGAATCCACGAAGTTATGTAAGAAGCACATTTGTCAGCAGGAAGACGAAAGATTTCTACCCAAGGGCCATCACGAAGAAAATCACGGAAAGAGTCCCAGTCAGCTTTAAGGTAGTTGTATGTGGTACGATGATAGGGGGATTCTGATGAAGTAGAAGAATTTGATAATAGTTTTAGAGAGATCAAACCGTGATCAGAAGTACCTAAGGGTGAATGTGGAGAAATTGAGCACTGACTAGGATCCAAAACAAGACATAAGTCGAGTAGAGAAGGTAAATGATTAGGGTTGTCTGGAAAACGAGTTGGAAAGTTGACTATTTGAGTTAGAGATTGAGAAAGGCAAAAGTTGAGGGCCTTAATGCCAGCAGAGTCACTGACACTAGAGCCAAGCCAATCGGTGTGATGGGCATTAAAGTCACCAACAACGACGATATTGGCCGATGGATAAAGAGAGAGGGCTTGGTCAATTTGATCAGAAATAACATCAAGAATAGTGCAATCTTGGGATGAAGGAGAGCGATATAGAACAAAGAGAAAGGCGATAGAGTGAAGTTGTGCTAAACAAAAGCACATAAATGAATAGTTTGTAGATTCAAATCTAGTTCACGACAAATGGGTGAGTTCTTACGAATATAGATGCCCAGGCCAAGCATGTGATTATTGGAGTCTTTACGAATTAAAGGAAGATAACCATCAACACTAAGATCACAAGATGGGACAGCCGAACTCAAATTAGTCTCACAAAGAGCAAGTAGGTCTGGTGAACTTTGCAAGAGATAAGACTCAACAGAAGAAAAGTTACTTCAAAGACCTTGAATATTAGTAAATGATAGGTTTAGAGAACTTGGTGATGACGATGGTTTTTTGTGTTTTTTAGTTTTAGGTACTTTAGTCATTTTAAATTTATAAAGAACTTGACTCAAGTATAGATAGTACTCAGTACACTATTTAACAACTAAGCAATAGCCTCATTACTATTAATAAACCCTAAGCCGTAACAAAGGGCTCCAAATGTGGCCTCTGCAATGCACACCAAAAGTACAAACAGGGACACCATCCATGCGCAACATGGCAGTGCGAGGCTGGTCAACAGATAGAATCTGTTTACCCCTTAAGTCTTTGCCTAGGAGGCCTTCTACAAGACAGCAGCTGGATGCGTGTAACATCTGCCCAAGATAAGTATTTTTATCGAGACACCATCTCTAGCCTTTACTCAACCAAAAGCCCCAAGGTAGGGGGTGTTTTAATTCGGAGTTAACTTCTCCTAGCCTTTGCCTAAAAAAGCGTATCCTACAAGGCAGCAGGACGTGAAGCAGGTTGTACTGGGTTACATGTTACCAGTAGCAGGAAAACCTGACCTGACATGTGTATATATATATATATATACATATATACATATATATATATATATATATATATATATATATATATATATATATATATATATATATATATATATATATATATATATATATATATATATATATATATACTTGATTAATGAATTATATACATTTATTATGAATGAATTATTATTTAAATATATACATTTATTAATGAATCAAGATTACTTCTTAATAAAAAACAAACCAGCAAGCAATTTAAAAGCTAATTTCAATATAAGTGGTTAGTTTTCGTATGTCCCTTGGAACCACGTTCATCTTTTATACATTCCATTGTTATAAAGTTTTGCAAACCACGTTGCAAAATTTTATAACAATGGAATGTATAAAAGATTTGCTTTTTTGAAAGTTAAAGCGTTTTTAAATATCCATTTAGCGTGATGTTAATTTTTGTTTTTGACAATTAAGAGTAAACTGCTTTTGATAATAAATGAACAAAAGTAAAAAATATCAGTCCTTAAAACAATCGCGCAAGTTTAATTTTTAAATGAATGAACTTATGATCTTTAGCTTGCTATTTTAGTTTACTAGAGGAAAACGAAAAAACAAAGTATAAACTTTTACCGACAGTTTTTTTTCCTTTCAATATTCTTTTTAGAATAATAAAAAAAAAAGGTTTCAATAACTTAATAAAAGTTTTATTTAGATCTGTTTAAAATAACCCATAGTAAATGTAATTTATTTATTCAAATGTAATTTTTTAAATTATTCTTAATAGTTAAAAAAATATATTTTTTAAAATATATAAAATATAATATGGTTTTTAATCAAAGTAATAGAATATTTTTTAAATTATATTTACTGTGCTTATGTTTATCTCTTTAATTATCTTTGAAATAGAAGGCGCCTCAAAATCACTTTAAAAATTATAACCTTTAGTAAAAGTTAAAAGAACAGATTTACTAATATTTAAATCAAAACTTAAAATTTTAAATAATAGAAAATAAGTTTATTAAATGCTTATGTTTTTACTTGAATATTTTATTAAATACGTTTATTAAATTTGTTTATTAAATGCCTATATTTTTAATTCAAATACAAGACTTAAAACTATTTTGTTAATTTTACAAATATTACGTGATATAATATATGTAAATATATTATGTAATGTAAATATTGATTAAAAATTGTTTAAATAATTTTTAATTATTGTTTTGAATTAAATTTACTAAAATATAGTTAATAACTGTTTAAAATACCTTAAATAATTTTGAATAATTATTTACTGATAGCGTGGTATATGCAACAAAAGCGTTTATTAAAACCTTTAGTTTTTTTTTAGCTAAAGTAACATCGTCCACCAGTAAATTCATGTATTCAAGAAATGCCTTTAAATCAACACTTTATTATAGGATAAAACATATTCATACATACATGCATACATACATAACACCTTATTATAAGATAAAACTGAACAAGATAAACATAAATGATTATTAAGATAATGATGATTAAAAGTTATTTATGCGGCAACCGTTTAACTAGGGAAAAATGAGGGTGGGGGGGAAGTAAAAAACAAAATTATATGTGTATTATATATATATATATATATATATATATCAGGACCAATTCTAGGAAAAAAATTTGGGTGGTACCCCTCATTCCAGCAAACTTTAGCGGAAAATCTGCAGTTTTTTTTGCAAAAATAACAATATTTGCCGTGAAAAATGTAAAGAAAAAAAAAAGGTCTTCAAATTTTAGTTTTGGCGGCACCCAAATATGGTCGACGTTGTCGAAAATGGTCTAGAATAGCCCCTGTATATATATATATATATATATATATATATATATATATATATATATATATATATATATATATATATATATATATATGTATATATATATATATATATATATATATATATATATGTATATATATATATATATATATATATATATATATATATACATATATATACATACACATATGAAATTCTAGTTCTCTTGAGACACAAGTTGACTTTTAGAGAAAAAATTTTGTATGTTTGTATGTATGTGTGTATGTATGTATATATGCTTTTTTTTAAAAGAGAAATAAACATAAGATAAAAAGAATCAAACATTTATATCTTTAATTGATTAAATTATTAGTTCTTAAATTATTAGTTCTTATCTTCATTGTTTTTTAGATTTTTTTAAACGTTTTCCTCTCCTATTTTTGTTTTTTATTTAGAAAGTTAGAACTTTTTCTATGAATGCTATAAATTAGTAACTTTGTTATGTTTTAATTTGCTCATAGAATCAGAAAATTTTTAATTATATATTTATTCTATTATATTATTATATAATAATATTTACATTATTTATAGGTCCTAAAACAATTGTTTCAGGAGCTATTTATAATTTTTTGTTTATAATATTTAAGTAGAAGAACATTTAGCTCTTATGTTCATTTTTTCACTTCTCTAAAAAAATATTTTATAACTTTTATTTTTATCCATTTAATAAACAAAGTTTTATAATTATTATGAGTAATATGCTTAAAACTGTAAAATATTTTTGCATCAATTTAAACAAATCAATTTAAGGAGTTAATCAATCTCAGTAGATATGTAAGGATAATGGGTAGATAAGGATAAGATAAGATATGTATTTTATTTTTAGATTATTTGTTTAACTAAATGCCATTTTAAAATGTTCAAACTATGATAATTCACAAATATAGATTTTAAATTCTTTGTTTAATTACTTCCCTAATGTTGTTTTAGTAATTTTATTTTGACTAAACTTTGTTTATTATTATTTATTGCAGTTGGTATTGTCTTTTTTATCTAATTAAGAAATAAAATATATTCATTAGATGGAGTAGAAATAGTCTCTGAAATAGCTAACCACATCAATGAGAGTATGAAGGAAGGAGTAAGTTTTTTTGTTTTACTTTTTTACAGTTTTTAAAAATAAGGTATTTATGTATTAGTATTAGCTTATGTACAAAAGACCACATTTCGAAGAAAAAAACAAAAACAAACAAAAAAAAGATTGAAATGCTAATTCATTAGATGCTGATTTTATATTTAAATATTACTTTGGACTTTTCATAACATATTGTAAGCAATTTATATGTATGACATAAATTGTTATTACTGTACACACTCTATATGTGTACAATGTCAACATGTTGTCAACATTGTAAACACTTTATATATGCCATGTTGTCAACATTGTAAGCACTTTATTTATGCTATGCTGTTAGCATTGTAAGAAATTTATATGTATAATTTAATGTTAACATTATAATATGTATAACATATTATTAACAATATAAACACTTTATATGTATTTTAAAAACTTGTTTTAAAATTTTTATGTATTATAGAAATAATAATAAGAAAATACTTGCTGTGCTGGTCAGTAAAATGTCTGACTCACATGACTTTCACTTGTATTTCTGGTACTACAGTTTCAGATACTGGTATTTTGCATTTTTAGACTTTAGATTTATGTTGTTAGCTCTCTTTTTTTTGGACTTAAGATTTATGTTGTTAGCACTCGTCATTTTTTACATTGTTACTGTCATCATTTTGTCATATGACTAAATGTTGACAAGGATGGTTGAGTACAGTGGTTTGAAAAAAAGTTAACCAAAGGTTATTTAAGTTTATAAGTGTTAAATTAAAAAGTTATTTATTGCATCATAAGATAAAACAATAAAATTATTAAGTTGTCAACACTTTTTTATCACTGTTATTCAAATCTACTATAACGGCAAAAAGTCATGTCCATACTATTTTTGTGAACAATCAAGTGTAATGCATCATAATTATGTATACATGCATCATGTAATGTACATATTGTAATTACGTTATGCCTTGTCGTGCATCACGTAATGTACATATTGTAATTACGTGATGCACAACAAGGCATACTGCCAATCAGTGCCTAAACATCCTCTGTGGTGATGCAGTTCCAGGAATCAAGCAAAAGCCCCCAAAGCTCACCCAAATTGCCTGGCCTGGAACCCTGTACCTTACGGAAGAGAATTTTTCAGAGGTGCTCGATAGGGTTGAGGTCAGGGCTCTGGGGTGGCCACCCCATAACCTCGACCTCATTAGATTCAAAAAAATCATGTACGCGTCTTGCAGTATGGCAAGGTGCATTATCTTGTTGAAAGATGAATGCTCTCCTGCGATGAAAAAGCTGCCTGGAAGAAGGGAGCATGTGATTTTTTTAGGACTCTAATGTACTGGTCTTGATTCATCGCGCCTTCACATCGGTAGAGATGACCAACCCCATTCCATAACATACAACCCCACACTATGAGAGATCCACCACCATGCTTTACTGTGGTATTAAAATACACTGAAGATGAAATTTTTCACCTGCCCGGCGTCGTACAACAGTGCGCTTCCTAAAATAAAAATAAAAACTTTATTTAAAACATTTATCATCTCAAAGTACTTAAATCCTAAATCTAAATAGTATATCTAACCCATAAATCAGGTAATATCTCCTTTTTAAATAGCACTCAAGGAATCAAACTCTTGTTAATATATTTACCTCTTACCAATTATTTTTGTCTATCAAGAAATCAAATTAATTCCAATTCTTACAGTGTTACAACAACTTAAATAAAATAAATTCCTTAACTAATAATTCAACAACTACGGTCAGAAATGTGATACACAGATCATAGAATAAAATTTTGAGCATTTATTTTCCTTGGGATTACATGAAAATGCTAAAAATTACATTTTTCAAAGGTGTGGACATAACTTTTTGCCGCTATAGTATATATTTTTGTCACTGTTATTCATATTTATTTTAAAATGGTTTTAATCAAATATTGTATGTAAATAGTGCATATTATGTATGGAGTATTATATTCAAATGGTATTATATTACATATAGAATATTATATATAGAGTTATGTTATATATATTATATATAGAATGTTATATAAAAATATGATATGTAAATGGTTAATACTATTGTTATATGAATATTTTAGTGTTAAGGTAAAAAGTCAATGTTTTCAAATCTTAAGATGAAATTTTTAAAAGAGATTTTTTTAAAAATGCAGCAACTAAAGTATTTATAAACACGTTTTTTTACTACTAAGTGTTGGGTGACACTTTTAGTTGATTTTTTAATCAATAATAAATTGCAACACAACATATAGGCTTGTAATTTGCAACATCCCAAGACATGTTTTTTTGCCAAAAAGCTGAATGTATTTTTGAAATGTGAAATCATCTAGTACTTAAAATTCCATACATTTTTGTTTTTGGTAAGTTAAAATTGGTAGATATATATAACTATTTTATTTAATGTTTCAAATATTGCAATACAACAAGTTGAATAGTCATTATGTAAATTCTGTGTTTTTATCTCCCTTCCCATCTTTTAACCTTTATATAAATTCTGTGTTTTTATATCTCTTCTCATCTTTCAACCCTTATGTAAATTCTTTGTTTTCATCTCCCTTCCCATTTTTCAAACCTTATGTAAATTCTGTGTTTTCATCTCCCTTCCCATCATTCAAACCTTATGTAAATTCTGTGTTTTTATCTCTCTTCTCATCTTTCAACAGTAATATTATATATTCTTTTCTTTTAATGATGGCAAACATTTTATTTAAATTGTAAAAAAATAGTTAAAGTTAAAACATTAAAACAAACAAAAATGAATTTAATTTCTAAATTAAAATAATTAAAATAAAAACATTAAAAAAAAAATTATTTAAATTCTAAATAAAATAGTTCATACATAAAAGTAGTGAACGATCAAAAGAAATATATTTTGCTGGAACCGAAACCAGAGTGAAAATATATTTTTATTTTTCATAACCAGAACTAAAAATAAACTCAAACGGCACCAGGAATTAAAAACAGGACCGAAAATTAATAATAAATATAGTTTCCTAAATTTACTTATAGTTTAAAGAAAATTAAAAATTATTTATGATATTTATAATGGAATCCAACAACTAGAAGATTTTCTATGCAAAAAAAAAATTTGTTCCAAATTTTCTGGAAAGATTTTGTTTCTTTTGTTTGATAGAGTAACTCCAGCTGTAGAAAACATTCTTTTGACATTGGTGGATGTCAAAGGTAGTGTCACTTTTATGCCAGTTTAGTCAAAGGTAACTTGATTATAAATTTAACATTTTCTTCATAACTTTTCCAAAATTTAAGGCAATTAGAAGGCATTGGACAATCCAACAAATCATTTAACTATTTTTTTTTATCAGTTTAGAAGATGAATGTGCATTTAGTTCTATTTGAGTTTGAGATTTATTTAAAAATTATTTTCGTAATAACTTTTGACATTATGTGAAAAAAAGATGCATAAGGTGCTCAAACATATAGTAGGTAGAGTTCTTGTGGTAAAACTGCTTTTTAGGTCACATCTGTCTTTTATATCCATTTGAATTTCTTGTTATCTGTAGAGTTCAGTGTAGAAAGCAGTAGAATGAGATGTGTAAGAACAAAGTTTTTGACTCTTTGCAATCGGTCTGTCTTTGATTGGATCTGAAAACAGTTTTTTTTTTATCACAAGTTAAAGAGAGTGGTTAAGGCATCCAGCTGACTCGTAGTTACAACTTGGTTGTTGAAAGTGTTTTTTTGTGGTATGCTTTTTTATCAAATTGAGACTAAGAGATGCAGAATTTAACATAAATAAAGTGAAGTCATTCCCTTAGAGCTATGATGAAATGATGACCATGTATTAAGACAGACTGACATACTTTAAGCTTCTGGTTGAACCAACTTTTCTTTGAGAGAATTTTTTTATTTTTTATAAGTTGGATCCAGTAAACTTCTGTAGTATTTTTCGCTAGCAATTTCGTAATTTGAAGCGATAAGAGCATGGTGCCTCAAAAACCCATCATCATTGACAACAGACCACTGCTGTCAAGAACTATCATTTCAAATATTGACTTGTGAAACTTTTAGTTTTTTTCAAAATTTGAATCAATTTTTGAAGAGGCTTGAACCCAGTTTAGAATTGTTGGTTTTTAAATGGCAGTTCTTTTGATTGTATATTAAAGATTGAAATTTTATTCTTTTTCTTGTTTAAATTCAATTCAGCTTTTTCGTTGGCTTTTTGAACCTTCTGGCGTAAGTTTCCAGAACCTTCTGGCATAAGTTTAATGTCATGATGAATAATTACCAAGTGTGATGTTAGTTCATATAATTCTTGTTTTTTGGGTTTGTTTTTTTGATCCACTTGTTGCATATTTTGCACTGAACCATTCCTAGATTGTTTGTTTCAATTTTTTCCATGCTAAACCTGTTTCATGTATTTCCATGCTAAACCTGTTTTTCAATTTGAATTCATTCTGTTATAATGAAAATTAATACTGTTTTTCAATATTGCTGGTTTGAGTACAAATGTTAAAAATATAATTGATAAGTTTTTTATTTATTGCATTGATTGCTACACAAAAATTCCCTTTGAACAACTAATATAAATAGTTAGTGTTAAACTATTTTTATTTATATATATTTTTTTCTAATGATATGAGGGTTGTTCCAAAACTACCTAGCCTAACAAAGAAAACACAAAAATTAAAAAAAAAAAAAACCACGGCTAAAAGCATTAACCTTTGAAAGCTTAACTGTGAAATTTAATTTTTGTATTTTTTTCTTCTTTTCAGATTAGTGAACATTAATAGTAAACGTTTTCAGTAAATTTTAAATATGGAGAAAATTGGTCATCATTATGTCATTCAATATTTTTATTTAAAAGGTCTCAGTTCAACCGATGAAGTGAACTAGATTCTACTCTAGGGGAGTCTGCTCCCTCATTTGCAACTATGAAATATTGGGTTGAAGAGTTTAAAAAAGGCTGTGTGACCTGTCCAAATAAACCCTGCAGTGGTTGACCAAATGAAGTCACCACGCCAGAAATGGTTAAGAAAAGCCACAAAATCATATAGGTGATTGTCGATTGAAAGTGCACAAGTTAACTGATATGGCAGGCATATCAAAAAGTGCTGCACATTGCATATTGACTGAAAATTTGGACTTGAAAAAGCTGTGCGCACAATGGTTGACGCCTTTACTCACAAGCGACCAAAAATAATGTTATGAGGATGCTTTGATGTATTGTTAGGCAATGTTTCACAAAAATAAGGCCAAGTTTTTGTGTCGATTTATAACTTTAGATGATAATTTTCATTGATTATCTTCAAAAAGGAAAAACCATCAATGGCGCATATTATTCAAACCTATTGCAGCATTTGAGTGAAGAAATCAAGAAAAAACGTCCGCATTTGGCAAAGTGAAAGTGTTGTTTCATCAAGACATTGCACCGGTTCACACATTTGTTATTGCAGGCCTTGTGATGAAGCAGGAGTGATCGCTCTGCGCACATGAAACATGCCCATAAATGCGCTTGTCAGTTGATTTTAAAGAAAATATTTTTGGTAAAATTTTTTTGCTGAAATCAAAATATGTTTAAACAGAAGAGTTTGCATATTGCTAAATAAAGAAGTTATATTCATAATAAAGTGTCACACATAAATTATGTGTGATGTACTTTAACTTTAATTTATGGGGCATAAGTTCAAATTAAAAATGATCTATTTCTTCTATTAGAAAGCTATATTCAGTATGTTTGTTTCTTTAAATCCCAGTTAAACTTTATCATATTATCCCCTTAATCGTACTCTAAGTCTAAGTCGAACCATTCGCCAACTCGTACAGTTTTTACTGCCCGTTTGACAAAAAACTTCGCTTAACTAGAACTTTTACTTTGAATTGCATTAAAGTCAATGTAATAAAATATCAAAACTTGGAACACTTTAATGAATATTCTAAAGTTAAATGTTAAAAAATTAATCATCTAGCGCAATATTTATAAATATCTAGTGTAATATTTATAAATATCTTATAAATAAATATCTGGTGTAAAAAATTTATCAAACTAAAACTTCATTTGTAGCTTTGGTTTCGTACAAGTTCGATCACATTTTATTAATTAATGACTAATATATTTAAAATTTAAAAACATCAAAAAATTGGAATATGAAATATTTTTTGTTGAATATAAGTTAATAAAATAAATATTTTTACTGATATTTTCGAATCGGTTAATCTTGTATTAAAGTCTATTTATTAAAAATGTTTAAGCTAAACAAAACTAAAAATTAAAAAAAAATAAAGTTTCAATCAACAATGCGTTTAACAAACATATTTGTTATATAACTTTGAATTCAAACTTTTGGAAGTGTGCTCACAAACAACAAAAGAAAAAATGTAATGTCACTGGTTTCACAAACACTGGTTTCACTGGTTTCGCATTTCTCAAAATATACGTCAGTATAAAAGTTATTTACTATATTCGTATATAAGTATATTACTTACATTAATATATATTATATTGGTATAAGTCTATTATATATTTGTTGAGTATATAAAAAATTATTCACTTGATAATAATTAAATCACGCATTCAGTTTAAATTAGAATGCAGTTTTCTATTTTGTACAAACAATGAATGGAAAGTTATGAAGTCATTACTGCTAACAAATAGAATGAAATATTTACTACTTTAAAAACGTTTTGTCCCAATGAAAATAGAAAATTTAAATTAAAGTTGATTGAATTTTGAAAAATTAAGTTTTAATCCACAAGATTTTGTAAGAGCGTAAGATTCTTTTGCTTTATTGTTTTTAATTTTTCACACATCTTTTGTAAATAAAAGGAATATTCCTAATCTTTTATTTTTTTTATTTTTAACTATTTATTTTAAATTAAATTAAAAATGTTTCTGTTGCTTAGAATGTCCACAATTAAGCACGTTAATTTAACTCCACTAGGAAACAATTTTGTCATATTATGTTATGTCATGTTATGTTGTCAACTTTTAGTAAATGGCAATATTTCATTATTTTTATTTAATATTAAAGCTGCAGTAACTTATTTTTTCTGGTAGATAGACAAATGCATTACCTAAAAAATTAAAGTCTTTTTTTGTCTGATTTCCCTTGCAACCAATTTCCAACTCTAAATATCACTCTCGAAGATTATGCCAACCTCATCTGAATAAAATTGCACTGAGCAATTTTATTCATCACATGCACTGTTATTGCCATGGCTAAAATTAATGAATTATATGTTTAAATTGCTTCCTCACGCATCCTATTCACTAGATTTAGCCCCCTCAGATTATTTTCTATTTCCAAACTTGAAAAAATGGCTTGGTGGGAGTAGATTTTTTACAAATCAAGAGGTAGAGTCTGGGGTTGATGGCTATTTTGCAGAGTTCAATGGCTCTTACTATAAACACGGTATTTAAGCAATTGAACATCCCTGGAAAAAGTGCATCGAGCTAAAAGGGGCCTATGTTGAGAAATAAAAATAAATTTTTTAAAAATTTTTATATATATATATATAAAAATTTTGAAAAAATTTATTTTTATATACATTTATTTATATATATATATATATATATATATATATATATATATATATATATATATATATATATATATATATATATATATATATATATATATATATATATATATAAAATATATGTTAAAATATAATTATATATTACTAACATAATTTATATATATATATACATATATATATATATATATATATATATATATATATATATATATATATATATATATATATATATATATATATATATATATATATATATATAAAATATATGTTAAAATATAATTATATATTACTAACATAATTTATATATATATATACATATATATATATATATATATATATATATATACATATATATATATATATATATATATATATATATATATATATATATATATATTTATATATATATATATATTTATATATTTATATATATATATAAATTAGTAGAAAATCACTTAGCAAAATTTTTTCTCAAAATTTCTGATGAGACTTTATTGATGAAACACAGTGTTAA